GACCACCGGTTGGCGACCGCCGATCTAAAGCACTAATTCAAAAAGATATATGCACTCTTATGTTCACTGCAGCATTACTTACAATAGCCAACATATGGAAGTAAATTAAGTGTCCGTTGATAGACAGCTGAATAAACAAGATGTGGTGGTACATATATGCAATGGAATATAACTCAGCCATAAAAAAGGAATGAAATCTTACCATTTGTGACACGTGGATGAACCTAGAGGGTATTATGCTAAGTGAAATAAGTCAGAAAGATAAAGACAAATACTATATGATTTCACTTATATGTGCAACCTACAAAACAAACACACACAGTAAACAGACCCATAGACACAGAGAAAAAACTGATGATTGCCAGGAGGGAGGGGGTTGGGTGGCTGAGTGAAAAGGTGAAGGGATTAAGAGGTACAAGTTGGTAGTTTCAAAATAGCCACGGCGGTGTGAAGTACAGCATAGGGAATATAGTCAGGAATACAATAATAACTATGTGTGATGTCAGATGGGTACTAGATTTATCGGGGGATCATTTCATAAGTTACATAAATGTCTATTATGCTATACACCTGAAACTAATATAATATTGAATGTCAACTGTAACTGAAAAATTTTTTTAATTTAAAAAAAATATATTGTCAGTGATAACTACAGAGCTCTAGATTGTGGTTAATCTACCTACAAGCATTCATATATTAGATTTCCTTAAATGGGAACATACCCATTAAAAATCAAACCACGACTTTCATCGCTAAAGTACGTGTAGTCTAATAAGGTGGAAAAGAGCGAAATTGTGGTGTAGTGTGATACATACAATTATAGTGAAAGTGCAAAAGGCCAAGTGCAAAATGAAGTGGCTGGGAAACTGTCCCTAAAAGCCAAGGAAGAGGTTCGGGGTTGATACTAAGACCAAAGCACATGCAAGAAGTGGTGCACTCGCCCCACCCACCCACAGCCTCAGGAGCCCTGGGCAGCAGGACTGGGAGGCAGGCACTGAGTGGCTGGCTTTCAGGAGTGTCTTCCCTCAAACTCCTCTCTGCCCCCTGGGAACTCCCCAGGACACTTGTGTCCCAATATCTTCCCGCACCAACTCCGCCAATTACATTTCCCCATCTGGCATGTGAGGGTGGTACCTGCCTCTCAGAACTGTTGGGTTTAAAAGCTACATCCCGTGTGATGTGTCTGGCCCAGCACCATGCTCAGCTTCTGAGGGCTCTCAGCCACAGCCCTGGGAGAGAAGTCTGTCTCCACATCCCCTGCTTCCAGGTGTCCTTCCCAGGAAAGCAATGCAGCACGTCACGGGGACATGGGCCTCCATTAAGGTTTACAAGGACGTAGTGAAGGCCCCCGGATTGCTGAGTGCTCAGAATTCCCCTCTCAATTCTTGCCCAAATCAGAGGGGCTTTGAGTAGGACCAGTTCTACTCCCACCTGGGTATGAAACTTTGGGCAAGTTTGTTCCCTTGTTCAGCTCCTCCATCTGATTCCTGAAGGAACACTGGGTCCCCCTCAGCATGTACCAGTATTATCGACCACATGCCAGGCACTGCGCCGGAGCACAGGGCAGGTCCTCGCCTTCCAGGGCACAGGGTCTGAGGAAGTGGAGGGACGCCGTCCCAGCAGCTCTAGTACAAGGCAGCATGCATGGGCTGACAGAAGCGTGGAATGCCGTGGGAGCCGTGGAAGGGTGGTGGCGTGCACAGGAGGAATGGAGGGCCTGTAACCTCTGGGGACCGGAAGGGCTTCCGTGCATCCAGGAAGCATTCCAGCAAATGGTGAACAACGCAAGCCCAGGGTTGGAGCTTAGGCCACCGGGACATGTTTACGGAGAAGTCGTAATTCGGAGTTAGAGAGGAGGGTGCTGGGCGTGGGCACTGGGACCCCTCCAGTGGTGCTGAAAGGGGAGGTGGGGTTGGATCTGCGGATGCAGCGGCCTTAGGCTAAGCTCAGGGAAGGGGATGGCTGCACCAACACTTCTTTATTCATTGGTTTTCCCCATCCAACTCTTCTCCATTCATTGCTGTTCATTCAACAAACGTTCATTCCTTATTTACCTTGTGACAAGCACTCATCAGTTGCTGAGGGGGAAAAATGAATGAGAGTTTCTTTCCTCGAGGAAATCATAGTCTGGTGGAAGAGACAAGTGACAGTGGTGGGTAACACAGATAACAATGGCTGCCTGCTCAAGAACAGCGCTAAGCAGGTGACTGATGATGCTCCAAGGTAGAGGCTGGTGAGGAGCCTTTCGGGCTGAGTTTGAGAAGGAAGGACTAGGAGCTGGTCAGCTGGAAGTAAGAACTCTCAGACAGCCATCAGCACAACAAAGCCCAGAGGCACGGCTGCATGGGGCAGGCTGGGAACGCTGGACAGTCTGGCTCGAGTGGAGCCTGGAGTGGGGGTTGCGGGGGGCGGGGTGGACCTGCGGGAAGAGATTGCTTTGGAGTCGGAATGTGGCTTAGTCCTGAAGGCAGTGAGACAGTTTTGAAAAAGATTACACTGGACAGTGAGGAAAGTAAATGTCAGTGGAATGAGAAGCCCTGGGCAGATGGTAGGGAGGCTTTTTCTAACCCTTTTGCTAGAAAAATCAGGAGGCCTGAATTGGGTGGATTCAGTTGGACCTGTGGAGTTACTGAGTGAAAACGCATAATGTGGGTAACAGGCTTGAATGACTGGTTCTATTTCCAAGACAGGAGGGTAAGGAGGAAAATGATGAATTTGTTCTTGAGTATGTGTAAGGCTACTGCAGGACACCTGTCATGCTGACCCACCACAGCCCCACCTCCACCTTAAAATCCTCCCAGAAGTGGTGGGGCCAATTCCCATCAGGCCTCCTGGCACACTGGCTCCAGGCGGAGCAGCCTGCAGTCCCTTGAACTTGCCAGGTTGTGTTCTACTTCCTGTGCCTCTAACTGAAACACCTTTTCCCTTCTCTTGCCTTTTGCCTGGCCAATTGCCAGACTCGCTCAAAGGTAACATCTTTGGAGCAGCGACCCTTGGCATTGTGTACCACCCGCCGCCCCAGGGAGAGTTAGTATACATCCGTCCACAGCGTTTACGCGCCCGTGTGTGTCCCCTCCTCCACCCCTGCCCCCCTCACCCAGGGCAGGAGGCATCCCTGTGTCCGTTATGCCTGGCCAGTCCAGACGGAAAGTAGGAGGACATGAGTGCATGTTTGTTACATGAGGTAATGCAGATGGGAGCATCCAGCAGGGAGTTGGACATTCCAAACATCAAAATGAAAGGCACCACAGACAAATGCGAACCACGGGACCCCTTCTGCCTGCCACTGGGCGCCCCGCCCCTCCTCTGCCCCAAGCACTGCATCACCTCAAGGCTAAGTGGCCCGTGAAGTAGGCCAGGGCTGGCGGCTTGGTAAGGTGTGTGGTTGGCGTAGAAAGGGAGAAAGAACACAGAGGCCAGCAGAGGAGGGCTGCTGAAGGTTGGGTGACTGAAATGGATGCAAGTTTACATGAGAGCCTGGCCTAGACACCTGTTTCCCTTCCTCATTCTAGGCCTCTGGGCCCTGTTCTCTACCGCCATCTGGTGGCCACGTTTGTAAGTAACAAGCTCCTCATGAGCGGGAAGAGCTTGTATAAGGCAGGAGCTGTGTGGATTGTCCTCAGGGGTTATGACACCCTCGCCCCCCAGATTTAGCCTGCAAATTGTATATATGCAATATCTGCTTTATTCCAGTGAGAAATTCCAAGAGCTTTTCATCCGATTCTTAGCAGCTTATAGCCCCCAACAGGGGTCAAGTCCAACAGACAGATTCACTACTACAAAGGATTGTTCTAGAATAGTGATTGCTTTTTTACCCCCAACTGAAATCCAATGAAAAATCATAATGTAAGAGAGAGAAGACCAGACCTGGATCCCTGCGTTCTTAGAACCTCATCCTCCAGTTTCCCGAGGCACCTACACAGAACACAAAGTCCAGCTCAGAAACCACGCTTATAAACCAGAGGCTTATGCTGCTTCAGGCCCAAATGGACCCTTTGAGACCCACTAGGTCATGCTTTGTGGAGGCCAAACCTTATGGAGGTCACACCTTGGGGAGGTCACACCTTGGGGAGGTCACACCTTGGGGAGGTCACACTTTGTGGAGGTCACACCTTGGGGAGGTCACACTTTGTGGAGGTCACACCTTGGGGAGGTCCCACCTTGAGGAATCAAACCTTGGGGAGGAACTTAGTGAAGCTCACAGAACATATCAGTGGCCTATCTGGGACCTAACACATATCCCTGTACTCCTAGGTCTTTAAACTGCTTGGTTTTATCTTATTGCCCAAAAAACTAAATTAAAAAAAAAACACACACACAAAAACACAACTCTTTCTATCCTGAATATAGTTCCCAAACAGGAAACTATTTTCCAATAAATATTTTGACTTCCTTACAAATGCCTGTCAACAAGCGATAATACACAGCGAAAAATAAATCTGTAGCTAACATCTGAATGGCTCCTTATGACTTACATCAGCACCTGTAGGATAACTTATTTCACAATAGGAAGACAGAGACTTGGAGAAAATGAGTTGTTTGCTATTTTCTGACGACTTTAGGGTTCTTTTTACTGTCTCTCCGTCTTTGTATTCAAATGTGTATATTTTGCCTTAAAACAGTGATCAAGTTAGCAGTATAACTGGCTTCTTGATGTGGGGGTGTTGGTAAGACCAGCCCCCGCTACTCAGAGCCATTTGGGGGTAGCAGGAAGAATAAAGGCTGACGTTGATGGAACATCTGTATACTAGTCTAGTTTCTGAATAACCTTCAAAGTAGGTGTTTAATCACCGTTGTTGAAGATGCATAAACTGAAGCTCTGGGAGAGAACGTGCCTTGCCCAAGGTCACACAGCTAGTAAACTGAGGCAAACCTCAGGCCGGCTGGCCTCCACAGCCTGTGTTTCCCCCGCACTAAGGAGCTGCACAGGGTTTGACCTCCCTAGGTAGGCAGTCCTGGCCTCCTCTAACCACCTGCCCCGTCCCTTCTTTCTCTCTTAGGAGTGCCAGCTTCTCTCAGGGCACCAGGGCCTCCTTCCTCATGAGGAGTGACACAGCTGTACAGAAACTTTCCCAGGGCAACGGACACTGTGTCAACGGGGTCAGCGGTCAAGTCCACGGCTTCTATAGCCTCCCCAAGCCGAGCCGACACAACACAGAATTCAGAGACAGTGCCTACGACCTGCCCCGGAGCCTGGCCGCCCATGGCCACACCAAGGGCAGCCTCACAGGCTCCGAGACTGATAACGAGGACGTGTACACCTTCAAGACGCCCAGCAACGCCCTGTGCCGGGAGTTCGGGGACCTTCTGGTGGACAATATGGAGGTGCCGGCCACCCCCCACTCAGCCTACCAGATCCCTAGGACCTTCACCCTGGACAAGAACCACAATGCCATGGCAGTGGGTGCTCCTGGGGACTCGGCCATAGCTCCCCCACCCAGACCCCCCAAGCCAAGCCAGGCAGAAACACCTCGCTGGGGCAGCTCTCAGCAGAGACCCCCCATCGGTGAGAACAGCAGATCGGTCTCTGCCGCCACCATCCCCAGGCGCAACACCCTCCCGGCCATGGACAACAGCCGACTTCACCGAGGTCAGTGCGAGCCCAGCTGAGGCCCAGAGGGAGGAGAGGTAGCACGGGGCTTCTCAGCAGTTTGCTAGTCTGTAGCCATGCATGCCCAGGGGACATGAGGACCAGCCTGGTCACTGACATGGTTTAGACATCATCCATCCAGCACTGGAGGCTGTTAGTGGACACCCATATGGTGAGAGTGTAGCAGACCTGCCTCAGAGAAACTGGTATTCTACAAGGGAGATAGAACAGTCTTGTTTAACCACATTACAGCATATTATGGGTTTTGGAAATCTAAATCATAGTGTTTTATTCATTTATCAATCAAGCCAAAGATTGCAAAAATCAACTTAGAGGTCCAGTCCAAACTGGAGCCAAACCTACATAGATGAGCAAATCTAATCTAATAAAAGAGAAACATGCAAATTGACCGTACCTTTGCTGCACCCCCAAGCCACGCCCACCAGCCCATCAGAGTGACTATATGCAAATCAGCCCAACCAAGATGGCGGCTGGCAGCCACGGAGCTGGAGCAAGCAGGAGGCTTGGATGCCCCGGCGATGGAGGAAGCCAAGCTTCCCGCCTGCCCTGGCTGGCTGTGGGCTCTGCCAAAAGCAACAAAGTTTCAATTATAGAAAATAAATAAATCCCAGATACCTGCTTCTAGCCAGCCTCCACTGGGAGCTTGGGTGGCTGGGGGCCATGGCCAGTCTGAAAATGGCCCTCAGCCCCTCACCCAGGCTGGCCAGGCACCCCAGTGGGGACCCCCACACTGAAGGTGCAGTGGCCAGCCTGCAAACAGCCATCAGCCCCTCACCCAGGCTGGCCAGGCACCCCAGGGGGAACCCCTACCCTGAAGGGGCTGTGGCCAGGCTGCAAACAGCCATCAGCCCCTCACTCAAGCTGGCCACACCCTCAAGGGGTGAGGGTCCCTGCTGGGGGGCTTGACCACCCTGCAAACAGCCCTCAGCCCCTCACCCAGGCTGGCCATGCACCCCAGCAAGACCCCCCTCCCTGAAGGGCATGTGGCCAACCTGAAAACAGCCCTTAGCCCCTCACCCAGGCTGGCCAGGCACCCCAGCAGGATGCCCATTTTGATCCGGGTCACCCTTCAGGGCAAACCAGCCAGCCCCCACCCATACACCAGGCATATGATAAAAGGGTAATATGCAAATTTACCCTAACAGCAGAACGACTGGGAATCACTGGTCACTATGACACACACTGACCACCGGGGGCAGACGCTCAATGCAGGAGCTGCCCTTTGGTGGTCAGTGCGCTCCCACAGGGGTAGCTCTGCTCAGCCACAAGACAGGCTGATGGCTGCCAGCACAGCAGTGATGGCGGGAGCCTCTCCCGCCTCCTCAGCAGCGCTAAGGATGTCCGACTGCAGCTTAGGTCTGGTCCCCGCTGGCAAGTGGACATCCCCCAAGGGCTCCTGGGCTGCCAGAGGGCACAGGCCGGGCCGAGGGACACCCCCAAATGCACAAATTTTTGTGTACCGGGCCTCTAGTATTAAAATAAAATTAGATCTTCAGAACATTTCCGAAGCCCCCCTTGAATCTCTGTGTAAAGTCTGAACTTCTAACTTCGACTGTCACTCGTTTTCCACATAGAGTACTCCAGCCCTGCACATAATCTCCTCTGTTCAGTGAAAAAGTCTAGCATATTCATGCCTTTTGTTTGCATTTGCTTTGTAACTTGCAAAGCCTGTTTTATATCTGCTCTGTTGTTGAAGCCAGTAGTACCCTGAGAATTTGATGGGACAGAGCCTCGTCTCCATTCCACGTGAGGCCTGAGGTAGTTGAGACACTTGTTCAGGGGCAGAGATGGGCCTTGAACCTGGGCCCTGACTGCTGGCTCAGCACTCTGCAGTCTTGCAATGCATCACCTGTTTGATCAGTCACCCCGCTCTTTGGGACAGAGATGGCAGGGACACAGAGAACATGACCCTGCCCTTCAGAGAGCTCTCACACAGGTGGGGAAGTAAAATCACGTGTGTACATCAGTCAGGAGTCAGTGGTGGCCAGGTGAGTGGCCCAGGCAATAAGGGCTGTGGTTAGAAGAGAGGTGCATAAATGAGGGTGAAGTGATTGGGGCTCCACATAGATGCCAGCACTGGAGCTGGGAGCCTGGGAGGAACTTCTGAGCTGCAGGGAGATGTGACAGGGTAATGCCTGATCCCAGGGCGGGGAGGAGTGGCTTCTGGAGTCTCAGCAACACGGGAAGGGTCTGGGGGAGGCTCTGGGGGAGTGTCCACACGCAGGAAATCGTGTGTGCATCTGGTCTTCCTTCCTCTGCCACAGCTTCTTCCTGCGAGTCCTATGACCACCCTCAGCGAGGCGGAGAGAGTGCCGGCCGCTCTTCAGAGTCCATGAGTGACGGAGTCAGTTCTTTCCTGGTGAGTGGCCCCAGCCAGGCGTCCTCGGGCCGGCTCAGATGGGATAAGGTCACCCGAAGAGAGACAGTATCTCCCTCTTAGGACCCTGTCTAGTTCTTGTCTCAGTTCAGAGCCCAGGGCTGAGTTTTGAGTTTTGTTTGGGTTTTTTTCTTCACCTGAAAATACGTTTATTGATTTTCAAAGAAGGAGAGGGAGAGGATGAGAAACGTCCATGTGAGAGGAAGATCGATCCATTGCCTCCCGTATGCGCCCTGATCAGGGATGGAACCCACAACCTTCTGGTATACAGGACGATGCTCAAACCACTGATCCACCCAGCCAGGGCTCCCTGGATTGAGGAACCTGCTGTAGAGAAAGCGTGTGTACTTAGGTACACTAGACCACAGGCTCACCAACCCTGTGGGTAAACAGGAAGGTCTAAATGCAGAAGGCCCAGGCTCTGGGAATGCGGATCTCAGGCTGCATCCTCACCCGCCAGGTCTCCCCTGGGGGAGTGGCTGTGTGACTGCAGGCATAATTATGGCTTGAATGTAGGATCCCAGGCCGCCCTCTGCAGTGGCTGACCACAGTTCTGCAAGGTGTCAGGCCCCAGCTGAGCAGATTGGGCCTGGCTTCAGGTGCCTGGAAAAAAAAAATGGAAATTAGATAACCAATGCAGAAGCAGTTTAGTTCTACTTCTGGATGCACAGGGCAAGAATTGAAGGAAGGCCGTGGTCAGGGTTGCTGCATTGCACACTCTGGCAGCTCTGCCTGCCCCGTAGTCACCCTGAGAGCTGGCCTGAGTAGCGCAGCTGGCCCAGCCCTCACCTGCCAGGGCCAAAGCCTCTGATATGCTCCTGGCCCAGCGCAGGGCCTGACACACTGACTTCCCAATGGTGAGTCCACACTGACGTGGAGGGAGGACCTGAACTAACCTGTGCAGCCATGGCCTGTGCTGCCCTCCGCCTGGGGCAGATGGAACGCCTCATGGGCCCAGCCACTAAGGAGATTTCATGCTAAACATTTACCAAAAATTACAAGGAATCCCCAAGGGAGCCCAAGAGCTAAAAGGTTCCCAAAGGGGGACTTCCTGTTGCCCACTCTTTCTCTGGTTTCCCAGGGTCTGCCTTATAGCTTCACGGCGCACCTCACTGGTCGCGCCTTTTCCTCCCTGGTGCACAGGTCCTCACCGCTGTGGTTTCTTCTTGCCAGTGATGCTGTATTTCTTTCACTCTCCTTCCCTAGCCGGGGAAAATACGCATAGGCCGATCAGACAGCACCAATTCCGAAGACAACTACGTGCCCATGAATCCCGGCTCCTCCACTCTGCTGGCCTTGGAGCGAGCAGGTGACAACTCCCAGAGCGTCTACATCCCCATGAGCCCAGGACCCCATCTCTTTGACCCCCTCAGCTACCCTGCAACAGCCCTTTCTATGCATCGAGGCTCCAGCCGGGGGAGTGAGATCCAGCCACCCCCTGTCAACCGCAACCTCAAACCTGACCGCAAAGGTAAGTCCAATCTTTCCTGGTCCCGTCTTTGGACAATGGCCAGGGGCTGTTTGCATTCATTTAGCAATCAAGTGGGTCCTGCACTGTTTAACACCCCAAAGTCTCACACACATGCACTAACCCTGCAAATGCATCCCAGTGGTCTGGCACCTTAGGGACTGGTTGAGGGAGAAGCCTGGTGTCCAGAGCTGCGGGGGGGGGGGGGGGGGGGGGGGGGCCAGGCTCAGGACAAGCCACATTCTGGTTGCAGCTCCACCACCTGCTGACGTGTGAGTAGAGGCAAATCATTCTGTGTCTGAGCCTTGTTTCTTCATTTGTGAAAAGGAGAATATAATACATTGATGGCGAACCTTTTGAGCTCGGCGTGTCAGCATTTTGTACAACCCTAACTTAGCTCTGGTGCCGTGTCACATATAGAAATGTTTTGATATTTGCAACCATAGTGAAACACTTATATTTTGATATTTATTTTATGTATTTAAATGCCATTTAACAAAGAAAAATCAACCAAAAAAATGAGTTCGCGTGTCAGAGGTTCGCCATCACTGATATAATACGTACCTCCCAGAGGAACTGAGGGGCATAGCTACATCTGAAAGTTCCTCCTTGCGCATAAAATGTTGTGCAGGGGTAACTTGGAACAGTTTAGATCTGGGCAGAGTGGAACGGCAAAGCAGTCTATTAAAAGGTCCACTCTGACGTAATAGAAAGGCGTGAGCACTCAAACCAGGTAAAGGGGGTTGGCATCCTTATCCAAGACTTCCTGGCATGTCTTTGGGCAAATCCTTTAAGTTCTCTGAGCCTCAGTTTCCTTATCTGTGAAGTGGGAACAGTAATTCCTGCCTCCGGGGTTGTTCAAAAGGAAGCATCCCGGAGGTTGACTCTGGTCCACAGCAGGTGCTCAGTGAAGTTGGCTCTGTGTTCCCGGCCTCTGGACCAGGAGGACATGCTGGGGTTCCCGCTGCTCCCACCTCAGGCACCAGCCTTGGATCCGTGGCAGGGACTAGAGGGAGAAGTCGAGTCACCTCTGGTGGAGATGAGCCCAGTGGGTCTGGTCACCTGGGAATTCAGGTCTTAGCATTTGAATGGAAGCCTGCAAGGCTGTGGCCTTCATCTCCCTCCACTTTAGGGTCAGAGGTGGTCATGCCGGCATTCTCCCATATAAACGTCCTCCCTCATTTCCCTACATGGTCACAGATCTGGGGAGAGCAACCTGTTGTCAGACCCTCTGTCCTCACTTTAGAATCAGAAAATATGATTCCTGTAGACACAATGCAAAAAAATCTGTACTTTGGCATCTGAAGACAGACTTCGAGCACATCGCCGCTCAGCCTGTGTCCCTCTGTGAGACCAGGATGAGTCTGAGGGCACTCACACTCACCCTGTGTGTCACATGTAAGAGTGACATCATTATTCATGGCCGATAACACAACTTTCCTTCCTGCTCCAGTGAAGCCAACCCCACTCGACCTGCGGAGCAACACCGTCATCGATGAGCTCCCCTTCAAGTCCCCTGTCACCAAGTCTTGGTCGAGGGCCATGTGAGTGTCTTTCTGGACGTGGGAGGGTGGCCCAGAGCCGTCGGGGTTGGTGAGGGGACCGGTGGCCAGGCTGGGAGTCAGGAAGGCTGCAGCCCGATGATAACGCCGTCAGTAGCTCGGCACTCCCTATGTCTGTGGGAGCTCGGCTCCTCCTGTGAAGGGGGAACAGTTGTATCCACCCTGAATCAGCTCCTCACCTGGTAGTGATGTGTAGAGCTCTGAGGGCAGAGGTTGGGGTGGGTGAGGGTTGGGGGCCCTGTGGAGGCTGGAAACTCCCTGGTTTACCCTTTGCCTTCCCCCCACCACAGCCACAGCTTCAACTCCAGCTCCTCCCAGTACTGCCGCCCCACCTCCACCCAGAGCATCACCAGCACGGACTCAGGAGACAGTGAGGAGAACTACGTCTCTATGGTGAGTCCCCTGGGCCCAAGGCTCAGTCCCCACTCCACTCACTCTGCCCAGGGATCCTACATTACTTGCTATTTTGTTTGCTGCTGCAAATCTTTCTTGAGCCACATGAGGCGGTGAAGACAGGGCCCCTACCCGCAGAGACCGCAGTCATAGGGGCAGAGGAGGCCTGCCTCTGTTGTGATGACACAGGTGGTGTGGAGAGTGCAGCTGCAGGGCAGGCTGGGAAAGGTGGAGGACCCCAAATGACATCTTGGGGGGACTGGACTTTTCCTGTGGGAAGGAGGGAGCCCCAAAAGGGTTAGCAGACCAAGTGACTAGACAGGTTTTCAGAATAAGCACTGGTGGCAGGAGCACCTTCAAAGTTAACTCCTTCTTCTATCCTGTTAAAAGCCTTTCAAAGTAAAAGACCTACCCTTCACTCCCTTATGCTTTTGTGCTCAGGGCCATGAGCATGTGTGCAGAGGGGAGGCGCACATGGAAGGACTCTGGAGGCATAGACACAGGCAGCGTGGCACAGGGCCTCCGAGATGGCGGGGAAGAGAGGATGATTGCACAGAATAGGGTGGTTGCTGCACATGAACCAGCCAACCAGGGGGCAGACAGACAGAGCAGAGGACGATCGCCCTTCTCGCTAGCATGAGGCTTCGCGAAAATCCTGGGCAGTTTACCTGAGGCCTGGACAGAGACAGGACCCTCCAGCAGTCCCTGAGGGGCTGCTGAGGGGGCGGGGCCCCTTGTGGAGATCTCTGAGGAGCTGGGGAGCACACTGCTGTAGGCCACGGGTGGGGTTTCAGAGAAGCAGATTTGCTGCAAAAGACTTCCCAGCGTCCAGTACACAAAGGGAATGGGCTCCCGTCATGGGGTCAGCAGGCGAGGGCTGGGCTGTGGGGGAGCCTGCAGGGGGGAGCTGGCCTGGAGGGAAGGACGGCTCAGTGGGAGGAGTACAGGTTTGGGAGCCAGCACAGACCTGGTTCCCGCCCCTGCTCAGCAGCTGTACAACCACAGGCCACACCACAGCTCTGAACCAGTTTTGTCTTTGCTTTAAAAAATTAGGATTGCCATCAGGGTTTAAGTGAGCACGCGCCAGGCCCTGGCCCGGTGCGCGCCTCCAGGGGGGCCAGCAGCTCCAGCTCCCAGAGGCGAGCTTTCCGGTGGGGGGTTAGGCCAGTTCCCAAACTTACTAACAGGACTTTCCTCCCTGTGACAGCAATACCCAGTGTCTGCCTCGCCCATTCCCAGCGGCACCAACAGTCCAGCCCCGAAGAAGAGCACCGGCAGCGTCGATTACCTGGCCCTGGACTTCCAGCCAAGCTCTCCAAGCCCCCACCGCAAGGTGCCTGGGGTGGGCTGGGGTGGGGGCCAGGGCTTTGGTGGGGGTGCCTACGCCCCAAACAGCAGCACTCCCCTCTTGCTGCTTGACTGTGCTTTCGTCTGGGTCTTACAGGGCTCACATCACCCCCTCCGTCCCCCCCTCAGCTCAGGTACCTGGGCCCAGGCACGTGGTCAGCCAGGCCATTCCCTGTGCAGAGGGGCAAACAAAAGCACAGAGTGAATGAGCGACAGACCCGGGACTCCTATGTCCTGGTCCCAAGCTCTCTGAGCAGAGCTCACTGCCTGGTGGGTCCCAGAGCCCTGCTCTTGACGCAGTGGCCTGAGGGGACTCTGGGCCTAGGCCACCTCCACAGGACGTACAGATCTGTGCAGTCTAGAGGCAGGGCAGGCACTGGCCTCAGCTCAGGTCCCCTGCAGGGATACACAGAGGCCTGTGGCTGGTGCTGCTTGGCACCCAGCACATACCCTCCCCTGGAGGAGTGGTCACGAGGTGGGTGGGGACAGAGCTGTGGGCCTGGAGGCTCTAAAGGCCACTTTCAGAAAAGGACAAGACTCCTACGGCCAGCCTGAGCGGCCAGCGAGGCCCACCTCCTCTCCCGGGACAGCGTCCTGGGGCTCCCCGCCAGCCCCCTCATGGGGACTCACAGCACTTCTACTCCCCGCTCTGCCCTCAGCCGTCCACATCGTCTGTCACTTCCGACGAGAAGGTGGACTACGTCCAAGTGGACAAGGAGAAGACCCAGGCCCTGCAGAGCACCATGCAGGAGTGGACAGACGTGCGGCAGTCCTCGGAGCCTTCCAAGGGTGCCAAGCTGTGATGGGGCTGCCAAGCCTGGAGAGGGGCCCAGGCACTGAAGTTGGCTCCTCCCCAACTCCCCTCTCTCCTATCCTGTTGCCCCTTCCAACCTCCCCTCTACTTGGCCACCCTTGGCTTCAAGGCACTGAGGTCAGGGACCCTGAGCCTTTCCTGGGAGGTAGGGCCTGATGGAGGCACCGCCTCCACCCCCCAGGCCCACCTCTGGTTTTTACCAGTGATGGCCATGCCTCCATTCACCTTAGTTAGGGCGCTTGCCAAAAGCATCCTTCAGCCTCTTCCTGCCCTTGAGACCTGAGTACCTTCCAGATGTGTGGAGGGAAGCGCCGGGGCTCGGAGCTGGACTCCACACCTCACCTCCCTCCCAGCCCCCTTGCCGCCGCCTCTGGGCTGCCTCCTTCAGTCCCGGAAAAGCCCATCGTCTCACTGACCAGGACGACGAGGACCAGCAGACCAAAGTGGACATGGACTTTATCCCTTTCTGTCTCAGCAGGGGAGAGGCAAGGCCACCAAAAGGTGGAGGAGTTGAGAGGGAAGGTTAGAGGTGGTCTCTGGGCACAAAGGACTTAGATCCCCAGCTGCACTGCCCCCCTCCCCACTTTCAGCCAAGTGGCAGTGCACCTGTTGCAGGTGGAGGGGCAGAAGAATGAGGACAAAAGGAAGGAAAAACTGAGGATGAAGGGCAACAAGAACAAGGAAAGGGCCATCGCCCAGGAGATGGAGAGACAAGGACACAGCTTGATCCTCAGGGGCCGGCCCTGGGAGCTTCCCCAGGACCTCCTCAAGTTCCTGCCACCTGAGGGTACCACGTGAGAGAGGGCTTGGGCGGGGCTGGATGGTATGGGGTATGGGAGAGAGGGAGCCTGGGGGGCACTGGAGGTGATGCAGGGCCTGAGGGACGACCCTGGGACCGCAGTGGGCTGGGCAGAAGGCAGTGCATGGACACAGGGGGGACGGGCAGCAAGTTTCTGCAAGATGAGCAGTGCAGGGGGTGCAGGTGACTGATGGATGAGAGGCAGGAGTGAAGGCCTTGTGGGGACAGCATAGCAAATATACCCAAAGGGCCCAGTGGAATGGCCGAGGCAGTGCTGTGGGGATCAGGATGGAGCAGAAAGTGAAGGAGAGATGTCATGTGAGGGGAGTGGTGTGCGTAGTGTCAGTTCCCAGCAGTCATGGATGATGGGGAAAGCAGTGCAAAGGAGCGAGCAGGGCAGAGCCTGGAGGATGACATGGGATTTGGGCCAGGGCATGGTGCCAGCTGAGTGTTTCTCAGCTCCTCTCACACTATGTTGAACCCTCACAGCCCAGGTGCCATGTTGGACTCAAACCTGGCTGCAGGGACAGGAGGGGGGCTTCACCTCAGCCACTTTCTCCTGAGCCAGGGCCAGGGGGGATCTGAATCTTATGTTAAAAGTTCTTGGCCAAATTTTCTAGTTTCAGAGGGAACTGGGAAGACGAGATGTTTGATCCTGCCCTGGGAAGTAGACCATCCCAACAAAGACGACTTCCTACTATACTGAATGGAGGTGGCTACCACTCTTTCAGTTTCTGTGAGTGTGTGTATACACCCCTCACCAGCCCAGGGCCTGACCACTCCCTAAGAAGTCACATCCTGGAGAAATTACTTTCTCCACAGTAGCCCCTCCTCCCGTATCATCACCCAGCACATGTATTAATGGCTGCTGGGACCAGGCTCTGGGACAGGCACTGAGGACACAAGGGATTGGTAATGGCCATGAGAGACTGAAAATGCTGCTGCCCCCTTCCTAGGACGAAACACAGCCATCCCGAAGTGGCTGGAGCATGAGTGAGGAAGCGAGGCTGCTCCGGGAGGTGGGTGCCAGGGCAGGCGTGGGAAGGGGCTGAGATCAGACAAGGTGGCTTCTAGGGAAAGGAGGTGCCCAAGATGGGGCTCAGAAGAAGATGGGTCAGATTTTTAAGTGGAGGAAAAGGCTTGGCAAGCCTTGTGCTTTGGGAACAGAAGACCTTTGGGAGTATGGGTCCCTGGCTCCGTGTTCCCGCAGGGGAAAGGGCAGTGGTGGCCATGGCCTACCATGAGCAGGTGTGCCGTTCCCTCTATCCAGCCCTGACTGTGTCCCTAGGAGGGGAGCTTTTAATGGCACCACCCCTGTGCCCAGCAGGCTACAGGTAAGCCCAGGTGTGGGTGCCCTAATGTCAGTATTTTCTGGATGTGCCATGATGTGGACTGGCTGGTGTCTTCAGAGACTGTGTTCAGAGCTAATCTGCAAGGAGCCCTCCCTTCAGTTCTTGGTTCCTGTAACTCCCAAACTCTCAGGGTAGAGATGGAAGGAAGTACAAGGGAAGAGGACACTGGCTCACAAGCCCCACACTACCGGGTGTTTAGCACATACCTGTCGGCTCAGTTTAAGAAACTGGTCCTTTGGCCTCTTGGGTCAAAGCTCCCCTCTCCTGGTGGCCTGGCAGGACTAGGGTTGCTGTCTCAGCACCTTTAACACAGGACTCCTGCCTGGGGCGCCCTCCCCCACCTCCAGCTCCACCTCTACCTCTGCCAGGTTACACATGGCAGAGCAGGAACTGAGAAAAGAGGGAGAGGTTGCTACAGGGAAATGTCGCTCCCTCGGACCTTGGTTTGCCCGTCTATGAAATGGGTGGTTAGATTAGGTCTCTGAGGCCCCTGATAGGGCGGATGCTCAGCTGTTTTAAGGGAGAACTCCCTTCCCTGTGGCCTCTCTAAAGGGTCTGGATCACTAGGGATGGGCAACACCCAAACATTAGCCAGTTAACCCAGTCTCTTCCCTGGTTGAGTTTGGTAACCTCTCCATCTGAAACCAAACTTGCCCCATTCGTAGGACAGAAGCACAGCCATTCTGCAGTGATTGGAGCACAGGCTCCACCTCAGTCTGCCCTTTGCCCCCTTACCTGCCATGGGGTTAAGGCCTCAGCCCCCACGAGGCCAGGCCCCTCACCCCCACCCTGCCGCACCCTTTGACGAGCTCTGGAAGCAGAGCGCAGTGTGTCCTTCCTCTCTCTGGGCCTCCCTCTGCAGCGTGTGGGGGATGAGATGACCACAGGAGCTTAAAGCCCCGCCTACAGGCCGTCATCCTGGGACCCCAAGCTCTTTGGGGCTAGGTCGGCCGCCTTGAGGGGCGTCCCACTGGAGAGTCAGGCCGTCACGTGCTATTTGGTGGGGTGTGTGTGTGTGTGTGTGTGTTGGTTACATGTCTTGAAGTTTAGAATCCTTCACATGGAATTGTTGCTGTTTGTCAGGAACAGAGATAGGCTAGGAGAAGTCCAGGCTTGGGTTCTTGCCCTGTTACCATTTAAAATTGACATTTAATTTTTCAAATCACTGTTGGTGCCTAATCACTTAAGTTATTAATTTATTCTGTTTTCTTTTTTAAAAACAAAAAAAATTGTAACATATTTATCCTGTGAGTAGGTCTGGGGTGGGGCGGGCACGGGTTTGTGTGGGTCATTTTTGCTGTGGTGACACATGGTACAGGCCTGACGCGTGCAGGTCGCTTTTTACTGTGGTGTTGGAGCAGGACAACAATAAAGTCCAACGGAAGCAACCAGCGTGGGCTGCCATGTCTGCCTGTGGGAGGGGCTGGGGCGGACCAGGCCAGCCTGTGAGTCGTGTGTCAGCGTGAACACATGCTCGATGAGAACATGCTTTCTCAGGGTCCTGGAAAGGCTCTGGGCCAGCTTTCATTTTAGCAGAAAGTAACTGCTCCTTGGCGAGAAACTTGGGCACTTTTCTTGGCGAGAAGCGAGAATGAACCCTCCTTACCTCAGAATCCATCCTCCTGGTGTGTAAAATGGGAACTGCAGTAACCTCCACCAATTCATCTTTCTTAGAAGGCACCCTGACCGGGGACTGAACAACGAATGTGTGACTTGGCGCCAACAGACTCTCAGCCCGCTTTTGCTGGGCCCTGCAGCGGACATTTGAGGGTCTATGACACTTGGGCCCAAACGCAACTCCTCCACCTACAGCACAAGCAAGAGGCCTTGAAACCAAGCCCTGGCCGCACCACTGGCCGCCACCTTCCCACTTGGTTTGTTCTCCCAAAGGGAACAGGCAGGGTTGTGGGAAAGGGGCCTCCACATGAGGGCTCTGTGTGCCTCCCCAGCCCCACAGGTGGGATGGCATCTGGGGAAGGCCTGCCTCCCAGCTTTCTTCCTGGCCTGGGCCCACATCCAGCCAGGGGAGGCCACCGCCCCTCAGATCTCAGATGGAAGGAAGAAGGAACATGGTATCAGCACGAGCTACTGATGGACAGGCCAGAGTTCCTGGGGTCTGAAAATCCCCAGATACTGGGCTGCAGCCCCACCCGATAGTCCCCTGTCAACACCGCATCGGGCAGCCCCTTGCCTGTGCACCCACCACCCCTCCAAAGGCAAAGGGCTCCCGCTCCTCAGGATACCGGGCATTCTTCCTTCCCTCTTCAGCGCCCGCCTCGTCCTCACCTGTTCACAGAGCACTTCCCTGCAGGTGTTGCCACCCCACGTGGGATGCCTGACAAGTCAGCGAGCAGGGGGACCCTCCTTACTGCCTAGACACGCGACATCACAGCCACTGGGTGGGAAGGAAGACATCTTCAAAGGCTTCAGAGAACCCATTTTATTCCTGTTTGAGACCCTGGGTCTCTACTCTCCATGGAGAAGGGGTACAGCCGTGTCAGGGCACCTGAGGTCAGTATCTCCTCCCCGCCAGGCCCTCCCGCCAGCCCCCAGGCCGGGGCTCTCTCTCTGCCACTGAGCAGGAGCTGAGCCAGCCGGCTTTCCGGGACAGACAGTGGCTCCGTGAGAAACAGACACATTGGCAGTAAATAAGGATTCTCCATCTCACCCAGAGGGGATGCCCACAGTGGCATCTCAGGCACTGAGGCAGGCTAGGGAGGGGGAGGGTTTCCCACTGCAGGGGCTGTCCTCATGCTGGTCAGGGCAGACAGTCTCTGATCCTGAGCCAGGCTGCTTCCCACCTCCCCTCGCTCAGGAAAGCGCAGACACCCACACGTTACCGGTGAACCCCTCAGAGAGCCGGACAGTCGCAGGTGGGACGCAGCCCCGCTCCATGCCAGGGCCTGGCTCCTGCTCTGCTCTCTGTACTGTCCAACAAAAGGACCATCTACAAGGAGCTAGAAGGGCAAGGCTACTGGATGGCAAACACTGGCGCTGTGAGGTTCGGCCCTGTCGGGGGTCTGCAGGGGACAAGGCCAGGGTGTCCATCTAAGGTGCTTAAGTTGGCCAGGACACTCAGTAAAATCCTAATGGGGTCGAGCCCAGTGTCAGGGCCCGAGCCCAAGTTTAAGGGGCTTGGGTCTCACCTCTCCATCTCAGTCCCTGTGTCCCAGCAGCTCCCTCTCCACCTTTCTAGCCCTCGGAAGGGCCTGCCTTTAGGACTGGACCTGCCTCCATGGCCCCTCTCAGGCCCCATGCCCTGGGCCTCCCAGAAGAAAGGGGTCAAGGCCTCCCCTGAGGCTGGCGCCCCCCACAGGCAGGAACAGGGGAGGCTCCCATTAGAAGACCAGTCTGTGGAAATCACCACCACTGCCACCAGCAGGGCTGCAGCCCCCAGGAGAGCCTTCATCCTCATCCTTGTCTTCGTCGAAGCCCCTCCCCCAGCACGGGGACCCGGGGAGTGCGGAGATGTAGGCCGCCCTGCTCCGTGCCTCCTTCTCCTGCTCCTGGAACACAGGGGAAAGGGGGAAGGAAGCTCAAAACTCAGGCTCAGAAGCAAGTCCTCCTTCACTCCCTGCCCATGTCCCCCCAGGCCCAGAGGAGCCACGCTTCTGCCCTAGAGGCGGTCAGCCCCGTGGGCAGACAGGAGGAGGGACCCGTCCTTCCATCTACACCGAGGCTTCCAGCTCATTCTTCCTGCTCCCAAAAAACCCAGCCCTTGGAGCAAAGAAACTCATTCAGACTAACTAGCCTGACAGTCGCTAAGGGCCTGATGCGACACCAGGAGGCAGGAGGCCCAGGGACTTCAGGGGTCACGTCACACACACAGGGACCCTCCGACGGCTTCCTGGCACCATTGTCCAGCTCACTGCCTCAGGCACTGGGCACGGACTCTCCTGTGTCCGAGCTCTGCCTCCTGCTGAACGGAGGCCGGCCTCGCTGGGCAGCTGGTGGGAATGTACAAGCGGCCCCGTGTCCCACCCCGGGTGCCACCTTCCCCCACACACTCGGACTCCAGGTGCTGCTGTCCGGAGGTCCCAGGTGGCCACTGCCGTTGTTAGTCAGAGCCCTCTCATTGTCAGAGCCCTGGTGTTCCAGTTGCCAAGTATTTTGACACCAACCTTGACATCAAAGAGTAGACGGAGGCGGCTCGCTGGGTAGGGAGGCCCCTGGGTGCCCAGAGGCACTCTGTCCGCTCACAGAGCCCACACTGCTCCATCGGCACTTACAACCCTGAATAAATACCTGGTGATACTCAGTGTCTGTCTGGTGCCCTATCTGTCCCAGCACTAAGTGGTGGATGAAGGACAAAAGGAGGAGGGGAGAGACTCAGAGGAGCAGTAACTCTGGGCCGGGTGGTGCTGGGAAGCCCTCCACCAGGAGCTCAGGCCTCGGATGGGGCCCTGCTCACCTGCAGGAACAGGATGTTATCCCTGGAAATGGCTTCCATCAGGTCCTTGTGCAGGGCGGGCTCTGTCCGGACTCTGGGAGAGCCTGGTTCAGCCTCGGGGCCCTCCCCAGGCCGCTGCCGATAAAAGAGCACATAGGCCGTGTCCTTGGGGAAGAAGGAGGTGACGTTGCTGACAGACTCGAAGGAGGAGAAGGACACCCGAGTGTCGTTGAACAGGTACCACTGGTGCTCGGGCTCGGGCCTGTCCGCGGCTCCCAGGGCAGGGGCCGGCCGGGCGGCGCCCTCGCGGGCGTAGCAGTAGTAGTGACCGCTCTCCGAGGACACTCCGGAGTGCACCACGACGCTGCACAGGTCGTAGGCCTGGGCCCGGCCCCCGGCCAGCGGCAGGCGGAGCAGCAGGGGCACGGCCACGTCTTCCAGGATCTTGCGGCGCCGCATGGTGCGCAGGTCGAAGGAGAAGCGCAGCAGCGTCAGGATGAGGTAGCGCGGGCCCTGGCTCAGCTCCACCACCTTCTCGGCCTCCTGCAGCGAGGCGCACGACTCGCAGTAGTAGCGGTTCTCCTCCTCCAGCCTCTCGGGGGACAGGAAGTAGTTGACCAGGTCCAGGACGGAGCGGGAGCCCTCCCCGGAGGGGGCGGCCCTGGGGGTCCCTGGGCCCGGGCCAGCGCTGTCATTCTCCCGCTTCTCCACCTTCTTCTCCTCTCCTACCACTTTCTCCCCGTCCTCTTCCTCCTCCTCTTTAGTCCTTCCTTCCTCCTTCTCCTTTCGCACCTCCTCCTCTTCCTCCACCTTCTCCTGGCTCCGCTCCCCAGGTCCCTGGGAGCCCAGGCCTGCCATGTCCAGGATGGTTGGGGGGACAGCCCCTGTGATGCAGTGTTTCCTCTGCCTCTGAGGACCCGCCCTGCCTTGGACCTGAGCTGGGGACAGTGGGGGAGACTCGGGGGCTCCCACGCCCTCCGCAGGCAGCACCACGGAGCCCAGGCGGCGGTGGCGACAGCGCTCGGGTGGGGGAAAGGCCAGAGAGAGGTCCGTGAAGGCCTCCTCCCTGGAGGAGACGTTGAGGCAGCGGAGACAGCATATCCGAGTCACGATCTTGCCCCCGAACATCTTCTCCACCGAGGTGGAGCTTGGCCCAGGGGGCTCCTCTGGTGGGGACGGCGAGCTGGACTGCTTGAGCTTCTGGCAGATCCTGGTCCCCGTCTTCTCTTCTTCGTGCAGCCTGGAGCAGGGAGCAGAGCCTCCATACACACACGGTCCATTCCCAGTGCACTGGCCCGATTCATGCCTCTACCCTACTCAGCTGGCCACACAGTCAGACATATGCACATGCAGGAGTCTGCACAGGGAATATACCTACATGTGCCAAATGGCACCCATGCACTCACAAGCCAGGCACACACGCTGTGCATTTACTGCATACAGGCGCACAAACCTGCTACACATGTATGTATGTGCACACACCCCCAAGACCTGTGACGAACACACACGTGCACACTCAGGCGAGCGCAGTGCAGGGGTATACACGCACACCACTCCCAGGTCACGGTTCAGGTCAGCGTCTCCCAAGCTCCCGTCACACAGCCCCAGCCCCGACTCAGGCACACTTCTCAGACCCTTCCAACGTGCAATGCAGCGGGGAGGGGCGGGCTCCCCCAGGCCTAGCCCCCTTACCGATCCAGCAGGTACTTCAGGTACTCCGAGCAGTCCTGCTGGGCGCCGGGGCTGAACCAGGGTGTCCAGGACGCAGAGAGGAAGTTCTCGGGGGAAATGGCAGGCCGCTGGGACCGAGGCAGGGAAAGGCAGGGTCAGGAGCAGCAGGCTGCTCACCACCTGCTCCGCAGCTGGGGACTCTGTTCCCCCCACTTCCCGGCCTCCTCACTGAAGGCCTCCCCTCCTCATCCATCCCCGACCCGTGCCCTCCCACCAAGTCCACACAGCCTGGGGCAGGGCGTCAGGTTCACAGACAGGAGCAATCCTCCAGGCATCTGCTCTTCCCTGGGACTCCTCAGACTTCCTCTCCAGGCCCCTTCCCACTGCCATTCCCCTGCCCAGCACTCCTGTGGAAAGCTTAGCTGGAGTCCCCGTCTCCGATGCACCTGCTCCATGAGCCCTCTGTCCAGGTACTGCCACTGCTGTCTGCAGGTTCCTGTCCCCGGCCCACCCCACCCCCACCAGGAGCTCCCAGAGGGAGGACTGTTGCTCACTAGTCGCCCCGCCCCCACACAGGCCTTGCATGACGCCTGGTCCATGAAGGCAAGAGACAGCGGACAAAATAAATACGGTCCTCAGGGTCCCCGGCAATGTGAGTGCTCAAACAGGGCAGCAGATGACAAACAACCCTGAGCATTGACGGAACCTCGGACGGGAGGATGCGCTGCTGGGCCCCCAGCACAGAGCAGGCCTGAAGGAGGCACCTCTCTCCTGTCAGGCGAGGGTGCTGAACAGCTCCAGGGGCTTTGGCCCTGAACACAGGCCACCCCAGACTGGGGCTCCTACACCAGGAAGTGGGGGCTCATAGCCAGATGCAGGGAGGTCTAGGGGAAGGGAGGGGTGTCAGAGGGAGCCTCCTTTCCGCCACGCCCCCGCTCCCCCGGCCCTCACCTGGCTGTGCTCCAGGAAGGCGAAGAGCCACTGCAGCTTGGTCATCAAGGGCTGTGAGTTGTTCTCAGTCAAACGGAGCACACAGTGTCTGAAGCTTACAAACAAAGCAGGAGCACCAGGTAAGCCAAGGGCACCCGAGGGGCCTGTCCTCGCGACCCAGAGCCCCCCACCCCAGGCTTAAAGGCAGAAGAGACATTTGCAGCCCGAGTCTGGGCCAGGGGCAGGGGAGGAGGAGCAGGTGAACAACTTGGGTTGGACAATGAGGTGACCCCTGATGCCCCTTCCACTTCTGAAAGCCCATGATGCCAAGATTCAGAGATTCGAATGCCCTCCATCCTGTGGTCCCAGGCTCTGCGGCTTGCTCCAGGGTCCATGCCAGTATCCTCACCACCACTCACACCCTTGTCCTGCCTGCCTGGGAAATGGTGTTCACACCCACTGAGAGCAGCAGACCTTGCTCCAGCCTCAGTCCTCCAAATCCGCTCTTAAAGCCCCTTCCCAGGGCCCCGGCCACTGCTCCTCAGTCCACTCCTGCGGTTAAGTGAGGGAGGCGGGGTCAGCATGAGGGGTGTGCTGAGAGAAGAGGCCTCTGCAAGGGCACACTGGCTCCAGGTGACAGGGGTCTGATCCTATGGGGACGGGAAGGAGCCTCTCCTGACAACCCTACTCCCTGGACCAGTGGGAGGCCCAGCCCAGCCTCACTCCTGTTCTCACAAGCAGCTCTGGGCAGACAGACCAGCATCTCTCCCATCTGAGCCCACTGTGCAGAGCAGAGCAACCGAAGTGGGCTCCACTTAGCACCTGCCACAAGGTCAGTCCGGAAGCTGAGCACTCAAACGTGGTTTACTTTGCTGTGACCATAAGGACCATTTTTCTGATAAGTCATTTTATTATATTTTGCAAAAGTAATGGTCTGCAGAGGCTGGGAATTTAAAAAATAATACTAAAACCAGTTCGACAGGCAGTTCGAGAGCACAGCAGCAGCCCGTTCGCAAGTCCTGGAGATCCAACCTCCTCCTCCTGGCTGGACCCAACATTCAGAACAAACCGCAGTGAGGTCATACCATAGAGCCTGAAGCAAAGCTGACTTACGCTGTGAGTTTATTAGTGATGTCTAAGTGTGGTGTTGGCAAAAGAATATTTGAATAAATCAATGGGGAACAGAAGGGAGAGCCCAGAAATAGACTCACTGACCACTGACAAAGGAGCAAAGACAATAGGATGGAGCAAAGTCAGTCTCATCAACAAATGGCACTGGAACAACTGGACATCCACATGCAAAAGGATGAATCCAGACACAAAAACCTCACACCCATCGCAAAAATAAACTCTAAGTGGATCACAGAGCTAAATATAAAACAAAACTACCAAAATCCTAGGTGAAAACCTAGATGACCTTGGGTATGCTAATGACTTTTTAGATACAACAGACATGATACATAACAGAAATAATGGCTAAGCTGGATGTCTTTCAAATTAAAAACTTCTGCTCTGTCAAAGGCAGTATCAAGGGAATCAGAAGTCAGGCCAGAGACTGGGAGAATACACTTGCAAAAGACACATCTGATAAAAGACTGTTAGCCAAAATATACAAAGAACTCCTAACACTCAACAGTAAGAAGAAAAAAAAACTGATTAAAAAAATGGGCTAAACATCTTCACAGACATCTGATATACAGATGGCAAGTAAGTACATGTTACTCCACCAACACATGTCATCAGGGAAATGCAAACGAAAACAACTGGACACACGGATTAGTGCGCCCAAAACCCAGAACACTGACAACAAACGCTGGGAAGGAGGCGGGGCAACAGGAACCCATTTACTGCTCCTGGGGATGCAAGATGGTGCAGCCCCTTTGAAAGTCAGTTCAGCAGTTTCTCAAAAATTAAACATTCTATTGAGGACCGCACAAAGACGAGTTGAACGGGACAACTAAGGACAGAAAGCAGCAGCCACGTCGAGACTGATGGAAGGGGTAGAGCTGCAGAATGAGCTGGTCCCACACCCACATGTGGGGGTTAAGAAACAGGAGAGCTCTCTCAGCTGTGTAGGGCTCCCTGAGGAGCAAGGGGTTCTAGAACCACACCAGGATCCCAGCCCCGGGTTCCAGTGCCAGGAAGAGAAGTCCCTGTAACTTCTGGCTGTGAAAACCAGCAGGGATAGGGTGGCTGGAGTCCCAGGCAACTTTTTAAAGGGCCTGCTCACAAACTTACAGATTCACTCGCTCTGAGCTCCAGTGCTGGGGCAACAGCTAGAAAAGCACCAGGCACATCTGGGAGGAGCTGAACTGACGAGCTTCAGGGCAAGGGCTGGAGGGCCAGGGGCAGGGCAGCTCACTAGGGTCAGAAGTGCCAGCAGAGCCCTCGCTGGTTTGGCTTAGTGGATGGAGTGTCGGCCTGTGGACTGTGGGGTCCGGGGTTCAATTCCGGTCAGGGGCATGTACCTTGGTTGTGGGCACATCCCCGATGGGGGGTGTGCAGGAGGCAGCTCATCAATGTTTCTCTCTCATCAATGTTTCTAACTCTCTATCCCTCTCCCTTCCTCTCTGTAAAAAAAATCAATAAAATATATTTTTTAAAAAACAGAAACAAAAGACATAGGGTGGCTGAATGGATAAAAATACAATATGCTACCTACAAGAGACCCACTTCAGATCAAAAGACACACATACCCTGAAAGTAAAGGGAGAGAGAAATATTTTATGCAAATGGAAAGGAAAAAAAATTGGGTAGCCATATGACAAAATAAACTTTAAAATAAAGGCTATAACAAAAAACAAAGAACACTTCAAAATCATAAAGGGATCAATCCAAACAGAGGATACAACCCTTGTAAACATTTATGCACCCAGTGTAGAAGCACCTAAGGATATAAAGCAATACATTAAAAAGATTATACACCATGATCAAGTGGGATTTATTCCTGGAATGAAAGGTTGGTTCAATATCTACAAATCAATAAATGTGATACACCACAAACAAAATGAAGGATAGAAACCATATGATCCTATTAATAGGTACAAAAAAAGCATTTCACAACATCCAGCACCCATTTATGATAAAAACTCTCAGCAAAGCGGGAATAGAGGAAGCACACCTCAACTTAATAATAGCCATATATGATAAACCCACAGCTAACAACAACAGGTGAAAAACTCAACAGAGAAAAACTAAGAGCAGTTTAAGATCCGGAATAAGAAAAGGATGTCCACTTTCACCACTTTTAAGTCCTTGTCACACCAATCAGACAAGGAAAAGAAATAAACGCATCTAAGTTGGAAAGGAAGAAGTAAAAGTGTCATTATTAGCAGACTAGAGGCCCAATACACAAAATTCATGTGCTCGGGGCGGGGAGGGAGGGTGGCAAGGGGGTGGGGGTTCCTCAGCCCTGCCTGCACCGTCTCCCAGTTCAGAACCCCTCAGGGCTTAGACCTGCTCCCCGGGGCATCTGGCCTAAACTGGCAGTCAGATATCCTTCCAGCAGCCCGGGAGCCCTCAGGGGATGTCCAACTGACAGCCTAGGGATCGGGCCTAAGCCGGCAGGTGGACATCCCCAAAGGGGGCTGCAAGAGGGCACAGGCTGGGCTGAGGGACCCCCCTGCCAGTGCATGAATGTCATGCACCGGTTCTCTAGTATCTCAATAAACAATAATAAATAAAAGCAACTTCTTTATTTTTTTTAATATATTTTTATTGATTTCAGAGAAGAAGGGAGAGGGAAAGAGAGATAGAAACATCAATGATGAGAGATATCATTGATGGGCTGCCTCCTGCACATCCCACACTGGGGATTGAGCCCGCAACCCGGGCACATGCCCTTGGCCGGAATCGAACCAGGGACCCTTCAGTCCAAAGGCCAACACTCTACCCACTGAGCCAAACCAGCTAGGGCGCAACTTCTTTCAATAGCAAAAAGAAAACCACTCTCCACAGAGTAAAAAGGCAACTTTTCAAATCATGTAATTGGTAAGGGATTAATATCCAGAATATGCAAGGAACTCCAAAACTCAACAAAAAAAACAACCCAACTCAAAAATGGGCAATGGACTTGAATAGACATTTCTCTATAGAAAATATACAAATGGCCTCTAAATAAATGAAAAGATTTTCAACAAAATTAATTAGGGAAATACAAATCAAAACCACGACGATACCACCTCACCATTGTGATGGTTATGGTCAAAAATAAACAAACAAACAGAAGGCAAGTGATGGCAAGGATGTGGAGAAACTGGAACCCTGTTCACTGCTAGTGGGAAGGTAAAATGGTGTGGCCACAGTGGAAAACAGTGGTTCCTCAAAAAGTTAAAAATATGATTACTTTATGACCCAGCAATTCCATTTCTGGGTATATAATCAAAAGAATCAAAATCAGGGTCTCGAAGAAATATTTGTACACCCAGGTTCATAGCATCATATTCACAACAGCTAAACCATGAAAGCAACTCTCATACGCATTGACCAATGATCAGATGACTGAAATGTGGCTTATACATACAAGATAATATTATTCATCCTTTAAAAGGAAAGAAATTCTGCAATATGCTAAAATATGGACGTACCTTGAAGACATCTGCTAAGCAAAATAACCCAATCACAAAAAGACAAATATGGTATGATTCCACTTATATGAGGTACTTAGAATAGAGACAAAATCAGTGACAAAAAATAAAATGGTGGGTGGGGGAGGGGAAATGGAAATATGGAAAGTGATTGCTTAATAGGTATGGAGTTTCAGACTTACAAAGTGAACAGTTATGGGGATGAATGGTGGTGATGGTTGCACAACAATGTGAATGCCTTTACACCACTAAACTTAAAAAAGTCTATGATGGTCAATTTTCTGTTATGTGCATTTTAACACACACAACACAAAAAGGAAATTGGAGGGGGGACAAAGAGATCTACTTCTGTGGCTGAAACTGTGAGTAATTTTAAGTAAGCCATAAATTGGATAGGTAGCCACTGGTAATAAAGATTTTTTTTGAGTAAAGGGCGGTGGAGAGGGAATCTAATACCAGGGCGTCTGCTCTGGAAGACACAATCTACCCATGGAATCTAAGAGAAAAGTCCGTGGTACCCACCAACCCAAAGCAGAACCCCTTCCCACTGCAGCCCCATCCCTGGAGACCCACCTCCAGTTCCCACCCAGTCTCGACCTGAGGCTTTGGCAGTGGCCTGGAGACCTATGGGCCCCTCCATGTATCAAATTATGACAAAAATGCAAAACAGGACTCACCCCCCACCCCCACCCCCTATCCTCATCCTCATCTTCACACGCCCAGGAGCACAAATGAAAGAAGCAGGGACAGAGGGAATTCAAAAGCAGCACCTACTCAGAAGCCATGAACAAGGCCTGAAGGATGCTATTCACATAGCATGTGTTGCCCAGATTGATTAAACCAATCTTGCCCGTGTCTGACTTGGCCACGAGCCGAGGGTAGAAGCCAGCCAGCTCACTCTTCTGCGAGGTCCAGGCATCCTGCCCCAGCAGCTGCTTGATGCGGTCCTCGTTGGGAACATGGAGGTCCTGAGGAGGGAACAAGGCATCAGAAGAGTGGGCGCCCAGGTCAGCTCTAAAAACATCACCACCTCTGGGAAGCCTGGGACTACAGCCTACCCCACACCCACCCAAGCACCGCCCCATATATGTTCTAGAGATACATATGAACAGCCTCCTGCTTTCAAACTTATTCTAGGGTCTCACCTTGACATAGGGGCTTTCTACATGATCTTCCATGTCACAGCTGCTTTAAGAAGGTGGTAAAATCCCCATTTAATAGATGAGAAAACAACTCAGATAAAGAATTTTTCAGGAAGCCCTAACTGGTTAGGCTCAGTGGTTAAGGTGTCGACCTGCAGACTGAAGGCTCTTGGGTTCGATTCCAATCAAGGGCATGTACCTCGGTTGCAGGCTTGATCCCCGGCACCAGTCAGGGTGCATGCAGGAGGCAACCAGTCAATGTATCTCTCTCACATTGATGTTTCTCTCTCTCTGTCTCTCCCCCTCCCTCCACTCTCTCTACAAATCTATGGAAAAAATATCCTTAAGTGAGGATTAACAAAAAAACAAAACAAAGAAAGAATTTTCCAGGGATATACAAGAAGTGAGTGAAGAATCTGTACATTCTTAGAAGAGCCCAGGGCATGCAAACTCTGAGCAATGACAACACAGGCCATAGGCCAGATTCCGCCTTGTCAAAATCCCAATCCTTGACCTGCCTCTTGTCCTCACTAGCTGTGTGGCCGTGGCAGTGAGCCTCTCTCCGTCGCTTTCCTCGTCTGTCAAGGGAGGTTACTCCGACCTGGTGTGCGTGTGGCACTCTATCCTCTCACAGTGCTCACACACAGGGATGCTCCTGCCTCACCATCTACTTTTAGGTTTGCAGAGTCCTCTTTTCTGGATTAAGTCACCGCCCCCTCCCCCCCCCCCGCCCCCCCAACCTTGATCAGGACGGCAGGAGGATCCTGGGGGTCTGAGATGGGTCCTTGGTCACAGGCAAGATATTAGCAAGCTTTCCCACTCATTACCCTTTTTCATATTAAACAGCTGCATCTAAAAGAATGCTACCAAGCACTGGTCCTAATGATGATGTATTTTAAAGAAAAACACCTAAGCAAAATGTAGAGTTACTTAGGAGATATAAGCAGCATTCATTATAGTTCCTCTAGCCCTGCTCTGATTTCCAGACCCTGAGCACAGTCCCTAGATACAGGGCTCCAGAGCTTAAACCAGAGCTTAGAGCTTAGCACCGAAAGCACGTTGTCTCCGGAGCATACATCCTGTGGCCACTGCAGCAGGTCGGGCTCAAGCACTGGTTCAACACTCCTGCTCAGCCACTTGTCAGGATCACTTGCCCAGTCATTTATCAGAGTAGTCAGGCACCTCTCACAGCTGATTTAAAAAATGTAGGAGCTGCTAGAGGTGAAATAAGAAGATATGGGCCCAGTTTGGTCTCTCTTAGTCCGTTCTTTTTTCTTCCTATTATCCCCTACCCAATCCCCACTCCACACACAACACAAATAAATAGGAACAAAAAAGCAGGTAGTCGGAACCCCACACATGCTCACATGTGCACACAGAAGATGCAAAACAGCCAATGCCACTTTCCCAAAAATGGCACCTTTGTCCTCTGAGGAAAAGAAAACAAGAACTTCCAAATACTGGTAACTGTCAAGCTCCTAATGTTCCCGGAAATTTACATATGACACCTCCCTTAGCAGGGACCACATCTCCCGGGGAAACTGCCATGACCTGATACAACTGTCTGTGTCAGAGAACTTTCCAGAATTTATTTATAAAGGAGCCTAGATAGAAAGAAGGGTGTATTCATAGAACACAGGTGACAGAATCTTATAAACAACTAGCAGCCCGGGGCATGAAAATTCCAGGCCTGCCCCCTCTCACAGTCCGGAAGCCCTCAGGGGATGTCCTACTGACAAATTAGGCCCGCTCCCACCAGGCTGATCAGAGGAAGGCGCCGCCCCATCACCCCGCTGCTGCTGCCACTGCCGACCAGCCACAGCGGCTGCGAGGCCTGAGCCCTGGCTTTCCAGCCACCAGGGCTCAAGGCTGCCTGAGCCCCGGGCCTTGCAGCTGCTGTGGCTTTGTCTGGATGGACGTCCAAAGGACATCTGCCCTAATTAGCATATTACCCTCTTATTAGTATAGACTAGAGGCCCGGTGCACAAAAATTTGTGCACTCGGGGTGGAGGGGGGGTCCCTCAGCCCGGCCTGTGCCCTCTCGCAGTCTGGGACCCCTCGGGAGATAACGACCTGCTGGCTTAGGCCTGCTCCCAGGTGGCAGAGGGCAGGCCCAATCCCTAGGTGCAGCCCCTGGTCAGGCTCAGAGCAGGGCCGATTGGGGAGTTGGGCGCTGTCCCCTGTCATGCACAGTGCAGGCCAGATCGGGAGGTTGCGATGCCACCCTCAGTCATGCTCAGGGTAGGGCCGATTGGGGGGCTGGGGCACCGCCCCCTGTCACACTCAAGGCAGGGTCGATGGGGAGGTTGCTGCGCCACCCCCTGTCACGCACAGAGCAGGGCCAATCAGGGGGTTGAGGCGCTGCCCCCTGTCACTCACAGAGCAGGGCCCATCACGGTGGTTGGGGCTCCGTACCCTGTCACGCACAGAGCAGGATCGATCAGGGGTTTGGGGAGATCCCCCTGTCACGCACAGAGCAGGGCCCATCAGGGGGTTGAGGAGCTCCCTCCTGTCACTCACAGAGTAGGGCCCATGGGGGGCAGCTGGGGCGTCGCCCTCTATCACCCACAGAGCAGGGCCAATCAGGGGGTTGGGGCGCCGCCACTGTCACACTCAGGGCAGGGCTGATGGGGAGGTTATGGCTCTACCCCGTCACACACAGAGCAGGGCCCATGGGGGGGCGTTGGGGCGCCGCACCCTGTCACACACAGAGCAGGGCCCATCAGGGGGTTGAGGAGCTCCCTCCTGTCACTCACAGAGTAGGGCCCATGGGGGGCAGCTGGGGCGTCGCCCTCTATCACCCACAGAGCAGGGCCAATCAGGGGGTTGGGGCGCTGCACCCTGTCACACACAGAGATGCAGGGCGATCAGGGGGTTGAGGAGCTCCCCCATATCAGGCACAGAGCAGGGCTGATCAGGGGGTTGGGGCGCCTTTCCCTGTCACAAACAGATCAGGGCCGATAGGGAGATTGTGGCCCCGCCACCTGTCACACACAGAGCCGCAGGGCGATCAGGCGGTTTGGGCGCTGCCCCCTGTCATGCTGATCCCGGTGCCGGGAGGCCTCACGGCTCCACTGGTCCCGGTGCTGGGAGGCATATTACCCTTTTACTATATAGGATAGAGGCCTGGTGCACGAGTGGGGGCCGGCTGGTTTGCCCTGAAGGGTGTCCTGGATCAGGGTGGGGGTCCCCACTGGGGTGCCTGGCCAGCCTGGATGAGGGGATGATGGCTGTTTGCAGCTGGTCACACACCCTTCAGGGTGGGGGTCCCCACTGGGGTGCCTGGCCAGTCTGGGTCAGGGCTGTTTTCAGGCTGGTGGGTGACTGAAGCTCCCAACCGCTCCTTTTTTTCTTTCTTTTTTTTTTATTCTGGGCCAGCTTTAGCTCTGAGGCTTGGCTCCAGCTCTTCGGCCTCCACTGCTGAAAGCAGGTATCTGGTTTGTTTGGGTTCTATAATCGAAACACTGTTTCAACTCCAGCTCTGAGATCCCGGCTGGCTGAAAGCAGGCTTCTGGGGTTTTGTTTAGCTTCTATATTTGTAACAATGTTTCAAGCTGCAAGCTCAGAGGCCGGCAGCGGCAGGCGGGGAACGTTGGAGTCCTCCATCACTGAAGCAAGCAAGCCTCATGTTCACTTCAAGCTGCCTGGCTGCCGGCCGCCATCTTGGCTGGCAGTTAATTAGCATATTGCCCTGATTAGCCAATGGGAAGGGTAGCGGATATATGGCTAATTACCATGTTTCTCTTTTATTAGATAGAATAATGTCCTTCAGATTTGATTGGTACCAACTGGCTTGTAGCAACGGCTATTCAAAGCCATCCTATCTAATAAAAGACAAAAAGGGTAATTGAGCGTACCTTCGCTATGCTTTCCATTGGCTAATCAGCGCCATATGCAAATTAGCCGCCATATTCAAATCAGCACCATATGCAAATTAGCTGCATACTGCAGGCAGGGCTGGTCAGCGCCAGATACCATCTGGGCCCCGTTTGTGGTCCTGGGCAGCCAGCCAGGCTTAGGCAGCGCGATTGCATCACCTAAGCCCCGCCCCCATCCAGGACCCCATGGCGATCCCAGAGCAGGCAAGTGCAGAGGGTGGCGGCCAGAAAGTACAGAGGGCGGCCCGCCCCCAGGTGGGCCTGCTTCTGGGATCACCATGGCGATCCCAGAGCAGGCAAGTGTGGAGGGCAGCCTGCCCCCAGGTGGTCCTGCTCCTGGTATCGCATCCCAGCGCAGGCAAGTGCGGAGGGCAGGCAGCCCCCAGGTGGGCCTGCTCCTGGGATTGCCATGGCGATCCCAGAGCAGGAAAGTTCCCCACAGGCAGCACCCAGCAGGGCCTGCCCCCGGTCTCTGCAGTGATCCGCTGATCCATGAGCAGGAAAGCGCAGCCTGCAGGCAGCACCCAACCCTGGCCACAGCTCAAGGGAGAGAAAAACACACAGTGGAGGCCAGGAGCCTGAGAGATCAACACAAGCCCCCAGCACACACACACACACACACTCTCACACACACACACACACAGCACCTGCTTGAGCCTTCAATGCGGCTGGGGGCAACCCCCCAGTGGACACATACACACACACACACACACACACACACACACACACACACAGGACACCTGCTCCGAGCCTCTGCTGCCAGACTGTGGCCGTCAGTAGGACATCCACTGAGGGCTCCTGGACTGTGAGAGGGGCAGGCTGGGCTGAGGGAACCCCACCCCCCAGTGCACGAATTTCGTGCACCAAGTCTCTAGTCATCATATAAAAGTAGCACATCTTCCTGGAGCTACATTCTCTAATATTCAAGGAAAAGCGTGTTTGTGTCAAAACAACTGTAATTATAAAATACATACTTGAATCTTTAAAATAAAATAAATTTTAGACTCTGAGCTTGCATCGGGCTGCCTGGAGTGAGGCCCCGCCTCTGACATCAGCCCAGCTCTTCCTCTGACTGTAGGCCTTCCTGCCCTCTGGCTTCTCCCTGCTCCTGGCTGACCCTCAGAGGTTTTCATACACTGCTTAGATCAGAACTACTTTTATAGACGTTGGTCACACGACCCCCCAGGCTAAAAGCTCCTCAATGGCGGTGACTCATGGCTGTGTCCCTGGTTCCCCTTTTGTGTGGGGTGCAGAGTAGGGTATCAATAAAGTCATGTGAACAACTGTAAACACTCCTGCTCTGGAGTGCTCCTGGTCTGATGGGGGAGACAGACAGTGACAATGTGTGACAGAGCAGTGTCCAGGGCTGTGGGGGCCCAGAGAAATGCTGACCCAACCTGGTAGGGCCAACCTCAGGAAGGTGTTGAGAGTTATCAGGGAGGGCTTCTTGAGAGAGGTTAACACTTAAGCAAAGCCTTAAAGGATATGTAGGAGCTATTCAGGAAGAACAAGGAAGGGTTTACAGTTAGAGGGGCATGTGAATAAGCTCAGAGCAATCCTGAGAGAAGATGACCCATCTGGGGGCTCAATGTGCCTGAAGCAAGATGGGCCGGGGGAGATGATGGGAGACAGCCAGGAACCAATTGATGGGGGCTGCCACCAACCTGCAGTATGGCCCTGAGCAAGGCGCAAAGTAACACTCGTGTCAAAGTGGAGTGCGGGGGCAGCGGGGGATTGTCACTCACCTTGATGGCCTCCATGACAGGCTCATACAGGTCCGGGAAGCCCGGGAACCGGAACACCATGCAGTGGACCAGCTCTGCCAGCTGTTCCAGGCAGCTGGTCCCCGAGTTGGAGTCCTCCTTGAGCAGAGAGGCCACCATGGGGGGGATGTGAGGGAGGAGCTGTGAGAGCAGAGGGGGGTCAGGATCAGCACCAGTTTACCCACCTCAGACAGGATGCTGCTCACTGCGGATCACCCACCTGACCACTGTCCCCCTTACCACACACGGGGCTCTGAGCTCTGCACGCAGGTGACCCCCCTTACAAGATCGGTGGATACCCCGCCTCAGACTCTTCAGCCATAAAATGGGATCAATAATTCCCTCCTCACAGTTGAGGGGAAGCCTGAGCCCAAGCCCTGGCTGTTAAGCCTCAGCCAACTGACCTGCCCAAAGGCCTGAGTGACCATGGCCTCTCTGCCCACCCGGAATGGTGCTGGGCTGCCATGTGGACAGCGTGTGGACAGCCTGACAGATCCTGAGCAGCCGCCTCGGGACAAACACCATCATTCTTTCACCAAGCACACTTGTCAAGCCCTTCGTCCCCACAGCAATTTCATGTGGCTGTGATTCCTGTCCCCACTTTCCAGATGAATAAGTAGAAGTCAGAGAGGTTATACAATTGCCAAGGGTTTCACCATGGTTTACAGAAGAAGCTGGTGTCCACATCAGGTCTGTCTGAATCCCAAGCCCATTTCTCCCTTCTGTGCTACAGAGAGTTAACTTTCCAACCCATGGAGGTGCTACACCAGAATGTCCCAGAGATGGACAGAGCCAGGCCACGAACTGGGAGCAGGGGAGCCCAGGACGGGGATGGAAAGAAACCAACATCTGTCAAGTCCCTAGAATGTGGCAGGCTCTTGACAAGTATCACCTCATCTAACCCTCTCCCACCATCCTGGGGGTCACTTCTGTTCAGGCTGAGAGGTCAGTGCCTGACCCCAGGTCATGACTGGCAAAGAGCAGAGCTGGACTCAACCCCATGCACCCAACCCTGGTTCTGCGCTTCTCCCGTTGCAGCAAATGGGACCATCCGAATCTATGGCCCCAACTGCAGGTCCACAGGAGGAGGCAGGGGAAGGCTGCCCCCGGGCCTCAGGCTGTCCTTCCCAAGGAAGGGCCCAGAAGCCAGCAGAAAGGGCCTTGAGCTGGAGGCCAGGCCACCTGGGCGCTGACAGGCAGCAGGGTACAGAAAGGGCACTGGGTCAGGAGTCAGACAAACTGGTCTAGGATCGGCCCTGCACTGCTCACTAGCTGTGTGTCTGGGAAGGGACTTAACCTTCATAACCTTCAGCTTCTCCAGCGGAAGAGTGGAGAAAATGACAGAACCTCTTTCTTGGGGCTGTTCCAGGAGTTAAGTGAGCGCACAATGTACTGCCTTTAGCACTGTGACTGGCACACAGCTGTTACCCAGGGAACATCAGCTGTCATCATTCTAGGCTTGTCCCTCTCCTAGGGGCTCATGGGGAGGCCATAAAAATCCTCTAGTCTCAGTTCCCTATCTCTAAATTGGGGTCTCAAGTCTCCTCCAGTCCTAACATCCAGGGCTTCAAAGGCTGGGGCTTCAAGCGCTGACCCCTTGACCCCCAGCAGAGACAGTTGTCTGGCCTCCAGTCAGACCGAAGCAGGACGCAGCGGCAATGGCCCTTACCAGGTGGAAGGCCTCGTGGGAGTGCTGGAAGGTCAGGAGCATGTACTTGAGGACGGATAAGGCGGCTCCCCGGACAATGGGGTACAGAAGCTTGGAGAAAACCTGCAAGAGAGTCCCTTGTCAGGAGTCCCCCAGGCCTGGGCCGCCCCAGACCAAGTGCAGCCACAGGCCTGAGGGGGATCAGAGACCCCCAAGTTGAAGCAGCAGACCCATGCCAGAGCAAGACCAGGGAGGCACTCACTGGGTGGACAGACAGACGGTGAACTGGACAGCAAGACAGCTTAGCTATCTGGTGGATGGATGGACAGACACACCAAAAGTAACGTACACATGCTTGAGTGAGCAGTCAGAGGAGAGGATGGGGAACCTGAGGCTCAGAGAGGGCAGTGACTTGTCCCAGGTCGCAGAGGGTGGGAGTCCCCGTGCTCTGCCTCTCAGACCGGCAAGGCCCCTGCCAAGACACTAGCAGGAAGGGACACGAGCCGGGGCCAGGACAGGGGCCCACCAACCTTCTCGATTTTGGCGAGTGAAACCTCAATCAAGATGCTGAACTTCTTAACAGCAGCCAGGCCCTTCAGCAGTGCAATGATCCACTTGTCAATGTTCTTCCCCAAAGGCCAGGACACCCAGTCGATCATCCTGGTGAGGGGAATGACAGTGACACAGGGACTAGGGAGGCCCAAATGCCTGGGTGGTGGTGGCCAGGAACTAGCCATAACGTCCTGAGGTCCCACAATGACTCACTCACCCTACACAGGGCAGCCCTGGGCTATGTGGGATGAACAAGCAAACGAGCCCAACACAGGCAGCTGGCATACACGATGGGCTGTCTCTGCCTGGGCCCTGGAGCACAATGGCAGGAGGGGCTCTGGCTCCAGCAAACCATGGCTTGTGAACTGGAGCAAGTCACTTACTCTCTCAGCCTCAGTTTCTTCCTCTGTAAAATGGGGACAATGCCTACCAACAACAGGGTTGTATGGATTAAAAGAGATAATAGCAAACACTTATGTAGTATTCACTCTGCATCAGGCACTGCTCTATCTGCCTTATTACATGCATCAACCCATCTGACTCCCATAACACAATATCTGTGCACACTGAGCATAAAGCTAGTAGGTTCCCAGGAAAATATCACTATTACTATTTTTATAATCAGTAGAATGTACTACAGAGAGGTAGAACAGCATGAAAACAAAGTAACAGTAATAACAGTTTCTAGGCACTTTACATGCATTACCTGATTTTAACTAATTTAATCCTCAAAACAATCCCATAAGATGGGTTCAGTTATACTATGTCTTATAGATGAGGAAGCTGGAGCATAGAGGAATTGAGCAACTTGCCCACAGTCACACAGGCAAGAAGTGGTAGAGCCAGGATTTGAACTTGGGCAGCCTACCTCTACCTCTCACACTTTTTACCACTAAAGACAAGGAATCCAGGAAGGCCCAGTCGAGACAGTGGACCTGTACAGGAGTATGGAAAGAATGGCAGGGGGAGGCATGCAGGTGAATGGGACCTGCAGAGCCAAAGGCCTGTCGGCAGGAGGGTAGACAACATTTTCTGGGCCCACTGGACGAGCAAGTGTAAAGATGTTCAAATGAGGTGGGGATTGTGCAAGAGCTCTGTGAGCTGAAAAGACCCAAACTCCCTTTGTTATACTTGCCAAACTCATAAAACTTCCTGTGAAAGTACTTCCACTTTCTAATGTGACCCCGTGGAAGCCTGACAATTTCTTATACCATCACCCACATCTGCTACCACAGAAGGGGAAACGGAGGCTCAGACAGTTCACTGACCTGTCCAGGGCCTCACCGCTAGTACCCAGACTGGGAGCATCACTAGGGCAGGGCCCTCCGTGCCTCCCACATCCAGCGCTGGGCCAGACACAAAGCAGAGCCCGAGAAAAGATGGATGAATGAATAAGCATGAGGGTGTGGGCCCTTAAACACTAAATCTAGCCCAGCAACCCCACCCAGAAGAAGGGCCCTCAGCCCACCTGCTGACGGCCGTCAGCATCTGAGAGTCCGTCACACTGTCGTCATTGCTGAGGTTCCGGACGACACCATCCATGAGCTCCAGTGGGAGGTGCTGGACCACGCTGGCCAGGGCACAGGACGGTGGCTCCTCCTCTGGAACAGGGGGCAGGGCTGAGCTTAGCAAGGCGGGTGTGCCCCCCACCTCCCCATTGCCCCTTCTCTCATGCTGCCAAGGAACTAGCTGGGCCTCTGCAAAGAGGACGTCCAGGCCGCCTCCTCGCCTCCTCAGCATCACGGCCTCTGATTCAATCTGAACTCATTCACTCGTCAACCCGTCCCTGGCACTGCTTTGGGCCAGCCTTGTGCTAGGCCAGCCATGGGCAAACTACGGCCCGCGGGATCCAGCCTGTTTGAAATGAATAAAACTAAAAAAAAAAAAAAAAAAAAAAAAAAAAGACTATATCCTTTTCCGTAATGATGTTTACTTTGAATTTATATTAGTTCACACAAACACTCCATCCATGCTTTTGTTCCAGCCCTCTGGTCCAGTTTAAGAACCCATTGTGGCCCTCGAGTCAAAAAGTTTGCCCACCCCTGTGCTAGGCACACAGAAAAGCACTGGCCTCGCCTGCGGTCGTTCATGCAAGGCCTTTAAGAAGGGGTCACACTGGAGTTGGCGAGAGCAATAGGAGGCATAGATGGGCTTGGGGAGAAGGAGGACTTTCCATCTGGAACCACACAGACCAAGGCCAAATGGTCAAAGGAACATGTAGTCATCAAAGTTTGCTGTCCAGCTGGACAAGGGCCCAGATTCTTACACACCAGCCTTGGTTCTCCGTCCTTCCTTTTCCCTAAACCGCCCTACAATCAGGGAAGGCACAGACCTGATTTCAGTCATTTGCATGACCATAATCCGGGTTCCAGTTCTCAATGGACGGCCAAGATTCTACATTTCAGAGTTGACACCTGCAGGTTCTATTGCAGCTCCAGACCGTCCCTCTGCCTGCCGGAGCACCGTGCCCCCGCTGCTGGGTGCGGCCCACCTCTCCCAGATATGGCTCAAAAGTCACCCCTTCCAGGAAACCCACCCGGCCCAAAGGGCATCATGCCCCCCTTCCTATTGTCTCGCTCAGCCCCGAGGTCCTCCTTCTGCCCAGATTAATCTGGGTTCGACCTTTTCCCACACCAGGCAGTCTGCTCCCCGCGCGCCAGCACCCACCACAGGACAGGCCTCCCAGCAGGTGCTCCGCATAAGCGTGCGAACTCAATACGGGAACATCGCTCCCCACCTGTGCATCCGCCCGTGGCACACACATACCGCACGGCACACGGGCAACCCAAGCACAAGAATGTGCACGAATGGGCACACACTCAGCACCTTGGCACACACGAGCTCCCTCCTGCCCCAACCCCAGCCTCCCAGTGAGCGCACACCCACCTGTGCCAGAGATGACTGCGAACAACTCCTTGAGGCAGGGCAGGATGGCGGCGGGCTGCGCGCGCCACAGCTGCGCCAGGAGGCCGCTCACCTGCTGAGCCTGCTCCAGGAACTCCACGGCGCCCTCCTCGCCCTCGGCGGGGCAGCGGAAGCGGCCGAGGCAGCGCACCAGCTGCTGGCAGAAGAGCAGGCGGTGCGGGCCGTCGGGCAGGCAGCGCGGGTGCCGCGCCAGCAGCCGGGCCACCTGCGCGCAGGCCGCGGGCCCCGGGCGCTCGCACACGGTGCGCAACACCTCGCGCCTGAGCAGCGCGCACACCTCTTCGGCCGCGGGCCCCTCGGGCAGCAGCTGCAGGCCGAGCTGCACGCAGGCGAGCGCGCGGGGCCCCGGTGGGCCGGCGCCGCCCTGCAGCAGGCGCAGCACCCGGCGCGCGCTGAAGAACTCGGCGAACACCTCGGGGTGGTGGCGGCCGGCGACGTGCAGCAGCTGGCAGCCCACGCGGCGCGGCAGCTCGTCGGCGCCGTCCACGTAGAGGCGCGCGCCCAGCGCCAACAGCGCCAGGCACTGCTCGCGGTCCAGGGGCTGCCGCGCCGCTTCCAACACGCGCCGCACCAGCCCTTGTTTCACGCTGGCCGGGTACGAGGACATCACCACGGCCTCAAGGATCTTGTCCATGGCGGCCGCGCTGCGGGGGACAGGGAGCAGGTCACACTCTGCCGGACTGGAAGGTGTCTTGGTGAAGGAAAGCACAATCCTGGCACATAATGAGCCCCAGTGAGTTGTCGTCATTGCTGATGAGCATCTTTTATCTCGCAAAGGTAACACCTGAGCCCTCCCCTTCTCCCCACCCCTTTGCCCTTCTCTCCCAGGCCTCCCTAGCGACCTCGTCCACTATGGCAGTGGTTCTCAACCTTCTGGCCCTTTAAATGCAGTTCCTCATGTGGTGACCCAACCATAAAATTATTTTCGTTGCTACATCATAACTGTAATGTTGCTACTGTTATGAATCGTAATGTAAATATCTGATATGCAGGATGGTCTTAGGCGACCCCTGTGAAAGGGTCGTTCGACCACCAAGGGGGTCGTGACTCACAGGTTGAGAACCGCTGCACTACTGGGACGAGTAGGAGCTAGATCTAGAAGCCGCTGGTCAGGATCTTGGCCAGTCATGTCCTGTGGGAAGAGATGAGATGGAGCAGGGATGCATCCATTACACCTCCGGGGTGGGCGGGCCAACAAGGCTTCTCCAGATCCCCTGCACACTTCACTTTGTCCCCAATCAACTTCTTGCTCTTTCTCTGAACCTTTGAAAGATTCCACTTCTGTGTTTGCTGTGCGTTTTGCCTCAAACATCCTATTCCCCAAGGTCTCCACTACCACCACACACTCACACAACCAACCAAATTTCTGTTTTCCTTCACAGCCCACCTTGAACACCCTGTCTTCCATGAGAATAGCCCTGGGCCTCCAAGTGTGAATTCATCACTCACCCTCCATTCCACCTGTGGCCTCTTCCTCCATGATAGTGGGGATCACATACTATAGTGCTGGGGTGTATGGGTCCAAATCCCTCCAGTGAAACAAAGTCTAGTCTCTGTACTCCAGGACTGCACACTCAGCGTCCTGCCTGCCCCCCTAGCCTCGGTCCACACTAGCTCCTCCCTTGGGTGATTGTGCGCTTCCCTCCCCTCCTTGCTTGGCTCACCCTCAGCTCAAACTCACTTCCTTGAGGAAGCCCAGCCTGGCCTTCCCACTGTCCGTTTCAGAGCACCCATCCGCCTTTATAGCACTTAGGTTGCTTACTTGAATGGAGTCAGCCTCCTCCGCGATACTATGTGCTATCGCGGAGGAGTATGCTTCACAGATATTGTTTTTACAGATTGAAGGAGGCTGCTTCACTCTATTGCACTTGTGTTTTTTATAAATTGAAAGCAAGACCCTCGACTAGCAAAAAGAGAATGACTTGCTTTATTGCAATGGTCTGAAAATAAACCCAGGACATCTCGAAGGTGTGCCTGTAGATTCCCGAGGGTAGGAAGCAGGGCAGGGTTCGTTCACCATGGTACCCCCAGCACCTAGCCCAGTGCCTGGCACACAGGAGGCATTTGTTGAGTGAGCAAATGTGGAAGACAGCGTGAGTGACTGCCAACTTATTCCTGAGCCACAATAGCCTTCCCTCTGCCCTTCCCGTCCATGTGGGCTATTCCCTAGACGCCTTCATCCCACTGCCCCACTTCGACTCCTGATTTTCAAACTGGTTCACATGGGTACCGTTTGCTCTCAGAACATCCAACTTTCAGCTCCGAGAAGGCAGGGCCATTTCTGTGCTTCTTTGTATAATCCCACTCTAGGCAGGAGCTGATATAAGGCTCAGCACACAGTAGGTGTTTCACTAAACTTATGGGCTCAGTAAAAACCACTCTATCCTTCAGACGGAGAGGTGGTGCAAAGACGGAAATTTCCTAGAGGAGGTGCCAGAAACTTGTTCAGAGCCACAGATACTGTGGAACTCTGACTATGTGCCAGACCCTGTGGAGACACTCTTCCCTGTCCTAGCTCTTGGCCAAGACCAAACTTCCATTTCTGTGTGTATTACAATGCAATGGGCCCATTTATTTAGATCTCTGTCTCTCTCAACAGACAATGAACTCCACAGGGAAGCGACTGGGGCTTAATTCTCAGTGGCTGGCATCTCCCATGCCAGTCACTGCAGTCTGAGTGCCTCTGAAGAGATGATTGTGGGTATAGCCTAGGTACAGATCAGTGGTTCCCCAACACTGGCCTGGCTGCCTCAGAGTCATCCTGGATGCATTCTGCTTACCGTTCGGGTTACGTATGCTCTCTGAGCCTGTTTACACCTGCAGGGTTGTCGTGAAGACAAATATAAAGGCCTTACGGTGCTGCTAGGCACAAGGAAGTGCTCAGAAAATGTCAGTCCCCTTCACTTTAGAAGCAAAGTCATTGCCCTTAGGAGCATCCGGTCTGATGGTAGAGGCAGAGGTGTTGGCAAAGAGTGCCAAGGCAAGGCGCAATCTCCAAAGGCCTTTGAAAGCATCTTTAAAAACTGGTCTCCCTTCAACCCTGGGCCTCTATTTCCTAGGCAGTGGCTGTGACCAACCTCCTTTAAAGACCATCCCCCTTAGCCCCTAACCCTGCCCTCCAGGCTACTGAATTTAGTATGTAATATACTTTCAACCCAGGATGCCAGGTAATTCAGGTACAGGCATACCCATTTTATTGCACTTTGCTTCATTGCACTTCACAGATGTTGTGTATTTTACAAATTGAAGGCTAGACCCTCTACCAGCAAAAATATTACAACTTGCTTTATTGCGATACTGGCTTAATTGGGGTGGTCTGGAACAGAACCTGCAATATCTCCAAGGTATGTCTGTATTCAAGCAGCCAAGGAGAAACCTCAATCGATCAAATATTGACATTATGTGTGGAGGAAGAGGACATGGGGCAGGCAGAGTTCTGGGATGAGGGAAGGCTCTAGAAGTGGACAGTCAGACTAGGAATGATGAGTTCTGCATTTCAGTGTGACCTTGAGCAAATCTTATTCTAGTCCTGCAACTCATTGTGTGACCTTGAGCAAATCCCATCATGAGCCCCTTTTCTCTTCTGTAAAATGGGGGTGAATGATATCAGGTTGAACCACATGAAAGTGAAGGATCAGATGTTGGCAATTTCGCATGGTTCTACCTGATACCTACCACATAAGGTGGTTTGTGCCTGGCAGCTGAGAGTTCAGTCAGTGGGGCCATTCTGTGAGCGCTCTGATCTCCAAGGCCAGCCCTGCAGCCACAGTATAGTCCATGGCCTAGCCACTCCAGGCAAGCCTGCCTACCTTCCCCTACTGCCATGCAAGCAGCCGGAAGTCAGCTGCCACTATGGTCACCAACAAACCCACTCACTAATGTCTTCAGTGCATTCATGCAAAAGGTTCTAGGGGCTTGGACCTCATCTGACCCCATCACGGGCCACAGAAAGGAGCAGGACAGGGCTTGCTATCCCTGTCGCATGAACGGGGAAGACAAGGATCACCCAGCCAGAGGAACACAGCCTCAGCAGGTGAGATTCGATCTGTACTCGGCTTCCCTGGCAGAGGAAGAAGCAGACGGCTTCAGGGAGGTGGGATTACTCCTCTAGGCGCTGGGCCGGGAGATGGCCTGTGGACTCTGGCTCTGATCCAAGAGACAGCTGCCCCACGCCAAACAGCGGCAAACGGCAGCTGTGACCTCCCTCAGAAGAGCCTGCATTAAAATCACAAGACCCAAGTTCTCTGCTTCAGAATCAAAAGGTGACCTTGGGCGAGTCCTGGCCAGGCCCCTCAGCCTTCTCACCTGGAAAATAGGGACCATTCCACCTACCACTGCGGGGCTGGGTCCAGGTGTAAAAGATGAAGGCTGGGGCAGTCATGAGTCCCCTCCTGGGCCACCTGTTCCAGACCACTGCAGTAAAGCCAGTATCGCAATAAAGCAAGCTGCAATATTTTTGCTGGTGGAGGGTCTTGCCTTCAATTTGTAAAATACACAACATCTATGAAGTGCAATCAAGCGAAGTGTAATAAAACAGGTATGCCTGTGCCTGAATTACTTGGCATGCGTCATGAGTCTATCCTGGGCCACACTGTCAGGGAAGGAGACAGGGAGACACTCCACATCTCACCGATTCTACAAGGCATTTCATCCATTAGTCCTCACTGCCAGTTTTGGTTTCCAGTCTCTCCCCGAGCCCCAGCCCAACTCAAGATTAGCTCCTCTCTACTTCATGCCTGGACTAGTGCAACATGCTCCCAACCAGCCTCCTCCTTCCCTCCCTCGACCTGTCCTCCAGTAGAGGCATGTGTCCTGCAGGAGAAGAGTCGAGGCTTCTAATCTAGCCCAGCCACGACCCTCCACGGTGGCCCCTGTGGTTGGTGCTCTTTCACCTCTCTCAGCCTCTGAATCCCCAAATGGGAGATGACCACCCTCCTGCCCCTTAGCCTTTCCCAGCCAATGCCGCTGCTCCTACCCAAGCCCTTGGCTTCTACCTCTCACTGCTGGCAGGACAGCCTGAGAGTCCCAGCAATACCCAACCCTCTCCAGGCCACATAGTAAGCACATAGGAAAACCAAAATCCCTCCCCTGGAAGCCCAGATCCCTTTATCTGTCCCTCTCGATGACCCACTGCATTTCTGTTAAGTATTGACTGGTCTTTGTTCCTACATGGTGGAGCCTGACTCATCTCCATCATCTTCAAAGCACTGTGTGTGTGTGTGTGTGTGTGTGTGTGTGTGTGTGTGTCTACAATATCCTGCCCCGCCCCCATGCCCTGGGCCCCAACTCAGGCTTCCTCATCCCTCCCTGATCTGTTCCATCCACCCTACCGACATGGTCGGATTAATCTCATTAGATGGCAAGCTGTCATACCCCTGTTCAGACCTCTCAAGGTTCCCAGTGCCTTCAAGGCCCAAAACTCCTGAGCCTGACATTCCAGCCCTTTCTGTGACACTCAGCTGATGTGGGGCAGGGGTGGAAATTAACTTGGCAAAGGCTGTTCAGTGGTGAATCTACAGGAATTTGGGCAGTGGGCTTTCCCTGCTGGCTACCTTTGGGGAATACCCTCTTTGCTAAAAAAAGGGCTTCCCCTCTTCTCTCCTGGCAAATGTTGACTTATCCTCCCATGCCCAGGTCATGTGCCCCCTCCCCTGGGAAGCCTTTCCTCGTCCCCCTGCCGTTCAAGTCTTTGAGCTCTGGTTTCCCAAGGCTCTCTTCACTTCTCTCATCCCTCAGCAGTGTCACTGGATTCTGTGTCTCTCTCCCCGACCCAGACTGGAATTTCCTTTGGTAGGAAATAGGTCCAATCCCCCTTGTCTGTAGCCAGTGCCCAGCACAGGACCAGGCACAGAGGAAAGAGTGCCAAGTGACCAATGAGAGACATGTGACAGCGAGATGAGCTAAAACTAAAGATATGACCAGAAAAGCACCTTCTAGGGACTGGCCTAACCCTTGGTCCAGTCACTGCCCCCGCATCTGTCCAGGTCTGGTCTTGTATTTCTATAACTCTGGAATCTTAAATACCAGCCAAGAACACCCCTACAGAAGGCACTGGATGGGTCTAAGTGGGGCTCTAAACATTCTAGAAATGACTCAAACAACCAAAGCTAAAGAAAAAGAAAAAAAATATATCTATTCCTGGCTATCCCTCAGGTCAAAAGCTCACAGAATCTCATGAGACAGGGGAGGGAGCTTCAAGAAGGTCTCACCCTCTCCCTGCCCCAAGAGCACAGTAGCCCCTCCAAACCCCAGCTCAGCACCTAAGAGTTGAGTAGCCCATTTCCTTTCTCTCTGACCCTCATACCCATTTTACCTCCTTTGACTCCCTGGTGGGCACCTGGATGTCTCCCCACCCCCCCAACACACACACACACACACACACACACACACACACACACACACACACACAATCCTTCCAACCCTATCCACCCCCTTCCTCCCTGGGCAGCAGAATCCCTCTCGAAATTTTTAAACAACTTCTATCCAAGGCAGGAGACCCTCATCTGGGCCACCAAACTATCTCCTGGGGGAAAAGGTGAAAAGAGGTTTTACTGGTAAAAAAGCAAATGCTCTTTTACTGAAGGGGTATGAGGGGGAGGGGGAGAAGGGAAGAGGGGGGAGCATACATCCCCTTTTCAGGAACCCACCACACTCACCCACCTCCACTGGGGCCACCCCTCGCATACTCTGATGGCCTGTCCCCATCCCCAGGTTTTCTGGAAGGGAATGGACCAGGCTGACACGGCAGGGTCTCCTGTTCGCTGGGCTCTAATAGAGGGGTACCCCGGGGCGGGATGCTGAGAATAGCAGAAGCCCGAAGGCGGACTCTCAACACCTCCTCCGTCCCCCACCCCCACCCCCCCACGCCCCGTTTGCCCCGGCTGGGCCCAACCCCTCCCTTCAATTACACCAGTGCACCTGCTCCCAACCCAGGCTGGAGCTGCGGACCCACGAAAGGCCGGCAAGCTCCATGGTCCTGGGCGCTGGTGCCCTCAGCCCCGAGTGGGGCAGGGCTGCATCACCTCCACACACAACTGATGAAGGAGGCCGAGGCCCAGAGAGGGGTAGGTATTCACCCAAGGTCACACAGCGAGGCCAGGATGCACCCAGTCCTCCTGCCTCCCAACATCGGCCCCTCGGAGCCCTACGCTCCCGAACTGTCAGGGTGCTGACTCTCCCTCCCCCGAACCCGCACACCTGGCCCCAGCCCCCTTACCTCTGTGACCCCAGTGGACCTGCCTCAGACCAGGCTCCTGGGCGGCGCTCAGGCGGGGCCGCACTCGGCTAGGCCAGGCTAGGTCAGGGCGGGTCCTCTGCGTCCCCCGAAGGGACGACGCCCTCCGCCAGGTCCCCGATAGCGGGACGCTGCCTCCACCTCCCCGCCCTCTCTGCACAAGCCTCTATCCGGGAAGCCCGACTCAGAGGCGCAGCCGCGGGGCTACGGGGCTGCCAGACGATGCGGGGGGAGGGGCGAGGTGCGGGTGACAGGGCGGAGCCCGAACGGGGGCCACCCCGCGAACCGCCGCTCAGGCCGCGTCCCCTTTAAGGCCAGCTGGCCTGAGCGCTAGCAGGGGCGGGGTGGGGAGCTGGACAGCTCACTGCAATGCCTCCTGGGAGATGTAGTTTGCGGTCGGCTCACCCAACCACAAAGAGCCCAGAGAGAACTACAAGTCCGGGAGCTCTGCGCGTGGCCCCCGGCTGCCACGCCCCTGGGCTGGGCTCCAGGCCTCCGCCCCTCTCGCAAAGCTGCGCTGGCCGCCCGCGGAGGGGAGGCTGCAGAGCGAGGGCAGGAGGTGGGTGCGGCGCGACTGGGGACGCGGGGCTCAGGGATAGCCGGTGAGGGGGCGCGGGTCCCCCCGAGCACCTGTCCCACCATCGGAAATCATCTAGCCCAGCATAGCCTCGCCATGCTCAGCTATGCGATGGGGATGGTCACTCCTGTGGCTGCAGGGGCGGGGGCGCTTATCGAGGAGAGGGGGCGGAGCTGATGGAAGGCGCCGGAGTGGACGGCGATTGCAGGAAAAGCCGCGGTAATAAGGATCGAGCCTGTTGGGAGGAGTCTTTGGTAGGTGGAGGGAGGAGGGGCGGAGTCTCTAGGTGAGACGTGAACACGCGTGAAGTGGGAAAGGGGGAATCCAGGGCTGGGGCGTGCGCGCTGAGAATGCCTATGAAGCAAACCTGGGTTGGATTGGGTGAAATGGGCCGAAAAGCCTTGGGGAAGAAGGGGCGGAGACAAAGATGAAAAGGACGCCTCCCAGCCTTGGGACGCCCAGTGTCACAGGCTATAGTTTGGACAAGGGGGTGAGTGCCCACGTGGGCAAATACCTGTGGATGCAGAACGCCTTCCTTTCCTTGTGACTAGAAATAAAGAGCCCAACCCTTGAACTCCGTGTGTCACAGACATGGTCTTACTCAACTCTCACCCCCTGTAAAGGCGTCACCATATCCATTTACAGGAGGAACATGAGGCTCAGAGAAATGAAGTGACTTGCCCAAAACCACCCAGGACTCCTTATCCAAAGACCCTGCTTTTTTACCTGCCCTCTAGGGAGGCAGAGGTTTAGTCTGGAGTGTGTGGTAGGGAAGAAGAAAAAAAAAAAGTTTCACGACCTGCCTTTTGCAGGTTGTGTGACAGGACCAGCTTCCTCCACCCTCCTGAATGCCAACCTGTAAGGCAACCCTCCTCCTATGCTATTGTGAGGATGAAATAGGATATGGGCTTAAACGCCCTTGTTTATAAATTATAATTGTTAAGAGCAGGACAACCTTTCACAAGGAAGAGAGTGGTTGAAATGGAGTGCTTGTGCCTGAAGAAAATCACAAAAGGAAGCCTGAGTGTGCTGAGAGGATGAAGGAAAATTCTGGGACAGGATGGGGGACGGTGGTGGTGGTTGGGAGCTTGTAACAGGCGAGAGAATACTTTGCTGTGCAAATAAGTCAGGTTGCCCGGGCAGGTGGCCTTCCTGCTGTAGCCCACCTTTCCCTATCTCCTGGGCTACTGGGCAGCTCACTCCCTTGGGTCCATGTGTGTCACCTGAGTTTAGTCATAACTTTTCCTCCTACAGTGTGGATTGTGGGGAGAATGGAGCTGCCTGAGGGCTTGTTAGAGATATGAGCTGGGCAAAAGAGAGCTAAAACTACAGGTGTTGGGTGTAGGGAGGCCAGGGAGAAAGTGGATGGCAGCCCCCAGGGCTGGGAGCCAGTCTTTATCCTGGTGGGCTGAGTGAGGTCGGGGAGTCTCATTGGTGTCCTGGGAGACACATTACTCCTCTGAGCATTTTCATCCTTGAAATTTACCCAACCCTGTTCTCTCCATCTCCTGCACAGTGGGAGTTCTTGCATTTACTTCTAGGTGGTCACCTGGGCTTTAGATTCCAAACTGAAAATTCAAGAGAGTGTTTCCAAAATAAAAAGTTTTTAAAATTCCAGAGAGGGTGATAAACCTCCCTATTGGTAGATGACAGTCAATCTGGGGTGAGGAAAATGGATCTGACTAAACCTGAAGACAGTTCTTGCCCTTCCTCTACTAGCCTGCTTCTGGGGGTACAGAGAGGGGGGGATCCAGCAGGGTAGCAGGCACCCATCTACTTAAGTAAAGTGGGCGTTGGCAAGGGGTGTGAATAATACTCCCTGGAAATGCAGAGAAGGAAGGAATGACTTCCTCCTGAGGAGCCTGGCAGATGAATGGGATTTGCCTTCACAGCGAGCAGAGGGGATAGCAGCTGCCAAATTTCAGAGGTAGGAGAGGGCCTGGCATGAAAGTAGGGAAAATAACAGTGCAGGCATCCCTTGGAGATGTTGCAGGTTCCGTTCCAGACCACCGCGATAAAGCGAGTATTGCAATAAAGCAAGCTATAATCTTTTTGCACCTGGAGGGTCTTGCCTTCTATTTGTAAAACACACAAACACCTGTGAAGTGCAATAAAATGAGGTACACCTGTATCTACTTCATCTGTGATCAGCATGCATAAAGTGCTTAGCACAGTAGTAACTGCTCAATGAATGTCAGCCATCATGATTAATAACTGCTGCTATTTTTACGATGATGGTGACATCATCTACCCAGGAATTGGCCTAGAGCCTAGGGCCAGTGATGGCGAACCTATGAACTCATTTTTTTTTGGTTGATTTTTCTTTGTTAAATAGCATTTAAATATATAAAATAAATATCAAAAATATAAATCTTGCCAGAACCGGTTTGGCTCAGTGAATAGAGCGTCAGCCTGCGGACTCAAGGGTCCAGGGTTCGATTCCGGTAAAGGGCATGTACCTTGGTTTCGGGCACATCCCCAGTGGGGAGTGTGCAGGAGGCAGCTGATCAATGTTTCTCTCTCATTGATGTTTCTGGCTCTCTATCCCTCTCCCTTCCTCTCTGTAAAAAATCAATAAAATATATTAAAATATATATATATATAAATCTTTGTTTTACTATGGTTGCAAATATCAAAAAATTTCTATACGTGACACGGCACCAGAGTTAAGTTAGGGTTTTTCAAAACGCTGACACACCGAGCTCAAAAGGTTCGCCATCACTGGCCTAGGCCCACACAGCTAGTTAAGTGGCAGAGCCTGATTCCAGCGCAGGCCCAGGTGATGTCGAAGTCCATGCACTTTCCTTCCCCCCACTCTAAAGCCCCTCCAGTTCTTTCTGCCTGTCCACAACATTCACGAGGCCCACAAGTGGCCCCCGTTTGTGAACACTGTCCATGAGCCATGACAGGAGTTTCTTTCCTTCTGTAGTAGCAGACACTCTGGGTTCAGGAGGCAGGGGAAACAAGGCCTGGACAACTTGGATCCCAGCAGAGGCAGGCAGGCCTAGTGCTGTGGTTTCTATGGGCAGTTAGTTGGTCCTTAGTTCATTAAACATCCTTATAACCAGTGTTTTGAACTCTGCAGCTAGTAGATTGCTTGTCTCCATTTCGTTTAGTTCTCTCTTTTTTGGAGTTTTGTTCCATTCTTTCATTTGGGACAAGTTTCTTTGTCTCCTCGTTTTGGCAGCCCACGTGTGTGTTTCTGTGTATTAGGTACAGCTGCTGCATCTCCCAGGCTTGGTACAGTGGCCTGATATAGCAGGTGTTCTGTAGGGTCCATTGGCACAACTTCCCCAATCATCCTACTGGGAACCGAGGTGTGCCCCCTCCTCCTATGTGATCTGTGTACACCCTCCTCTTGTTGAACCTTGATTTCTGTTGGCATGTCAGTGGAAGCAATTTACCCCCAGGCCAATCAGCTGCAAGGACTGGCTGTGACCACCAACCACCAGGGAGGATCGATCAGCCACAGAACAGGCCTTACTTCATTGGCGCTCTGGTGCTCACTGACCCTGCCCCTTGAGTGTGTCGCTTGTGGAGGTCGTTGGGTAGTGGTGCTTTGAAGTGGTCTGAAGCTGCCTACTGGGTGCACTATCTCTGGGGCCACCTGGGAGATGCAGGCCAACATCAGTCACTGCCTCTCCTGTGTTCTTTTGACGTGACCACATTAATCTTTGATCGCTTCTTTGCTATCTGGCAAGAGATGTTCCAGGCTTACCTTAAACTTTTCCTGTCAAAGTCCTGAAATCATTGTTTTTTTGTAGGAGATAACATTTAGAAAACAAGATCTAGGGTCACTTGTACTCATTATTACTGGGGGTATCATTTCTAGGCTCTTTGAGCATAGCTAAGAAAGGATGGATGGATCGGTGGATGGAAAATCATGACTTAATAGATTCATTGTAGTCACAACTACTGGTCCTCACTATGTAAAATGAGTAGATTGCAGCCCTCGCCAGTTTGGCTCAGTGGATAGAGCATCGGCCTACGGAGTGAAGGGTCCCAGGTTCGATTCTGGTCAAGGGCACATGCCCAGGTTGCAGGCTTGATCCCCAGTTGAGGGCATGCAGGCAGCAGCCAATCACTGATTCTCCCTCATCATTGATGTTCCTCTCTCTCTCTCCCTCTCCCTTCCTCTTTGAAATAAATAAAAAAAATTTTTTTCAAGAAGTAGATTGCACGGAAAATAATTTCGTTAGGGAAGTTCAGTGAGCAGTATTGTAGGAAATTGTACAAAAAGAGTTCCTGCCATTTTCAGGACTCCATGAGTATATAAGCCATCAGCTAGGAACTCTGTGGCTGGGTTCAGTCCCTAGCTCAAAACCCAAATTAGAGAAGACACACCCCAGGCTGCGCCAAAGGACTGGTCCTCTGAGCAATGTCCAAACCCAGATCCTTCCAGAGGCCATGACTCAGAGGTCAAGAATGCACAGAACACCAGGCCAGGGATTCATCCTCTCTGAGTTTGTGAAATAGAGGCAATGTGACCTGTACTGCAGGGTCCCAGAGTTGTTGTGAGGATTTTTTTTTTAAATTGCTAACCAGTCTTTTCAACACGTACTACAAAATTCCTTTTCCTTTGTTTTGGTTTATGATCCAACTTAATGTATTATAATAATGTAACTACTCTTTTTCAATATTCTTTCAGGTTATCATTCATCAGCTTTTCCAAACTGAATCTTAATCCTTTTTAAACCTTTTTTTAAAAAAAAATACTAATGGCTGGACTGGTTTGGCTCAG